TCTCTCTCTCTTTGCATAGGAATGGCAGCAGGGCAAAGGGAAAAAAATGGCAGTGGCTCTCTCTCTCTCTGCATAGGAATGGCAGCAGGGCAAAGGAGAAAAAATGGCAGTGGCTTTCCTCCCCTCTCTCTCTCAGCAGGGCAAAGGAATAAAAATGGCAGTGGCAGGGGGATTATTCCCATCACCGGCGCCGCTGAGAATAAAAGTGGCGGGCGGAGCAAAGGTAAGCCGGCGGGAGGGAATACGAGCGGCGGCCAGTGGGCACGTTATTTTTTAATTAATTAATAATTGAAAAATAATAAAATAATTTAATTACTATATTGTCCTTCATTAAATTGGATTAATCTGAGTCTTTGAATTTAAATGAGGTTGGATGGTTGAGATGCATTTAGTCACATGACTAAGGGGACCCCCCCTTAGTCACCTGATCTTGGCCCTTATTGCTGCTGGGTATGTGTCGAGGATGTTGAGGTGAGCTGGCGAGAATGTAGGCGCGGAAGATTTGCTAGGTTTAGTGGACGGGTATTTATAAATAGTATGGATACTCGTTATTGGTATGTTGTAGGCACGGATCTTGGGCACCCAGATTAACATAACAAAATAGAGTTTAGAAAGAGATTTAGATTGGTTGAGAGTAGAATTGGGCATAATTGGATGATTTAGAATTGGGATTAGGGTTCTTGAAAGAGACTAGAGAGGAGGGATAATTCTAACAATACTTTGATTAGGTTTTTCATTCCTGTCTCTAATGATAGAACTAAAGTACATTATATAGATGCTGACCATAAACCCTAATCGACTAAATCTAATAAAATACTAAACTACCCTTTAACCCCTAATCGTACCAGCAACATGGTCCCATACGTAAAATGGGTACCCATTAACTCGTACAGATTTGAAATATGCATGGGAGATTGATCTCCAATTGAGATTGAATACTCATTTCAAACGGGACGGGTATCCCGTCCCGTTGCCCACCCCAATGGAGGCCATCAATGGCTTTTAACCAGTGTCCATGAAACCGTACCGTACCGGCGATTCAGCCACGAAATACCAGTATTGGAGGCTAAACCGGTAGGTTGTATTTACCGGTATAACGGTTGAATTACGGTTAAACCACGGTTTTACTATAAAATACTCTACCATTGACTTTACCGGTACAGTCTCCAGTACGGTTTCATGGACCACGCTTTTAACACACCAAGCTCTCCGGATCTTTAAGAGATCGAAGTTGCTAGGCGGCTCAATAAAGGCATTTTTTTAAACAAATATGAAATATATGACTATTGTGGTAGATTGTGGTAGAAAATGGTCAACCGTGGTGGATGAAGATTAGTAGTTAGTACAATCAATCACCATGTATACTACACAATGACATATTCCTATCATTATAGTACATCTTATGGTATAATCCTACACCATGCTCTACAAGTGGCGGAGGCATGAGATCGTACAAGGTATGCCCTTTTGAATAATTTTTATTTTTAAAATTTACAAAATTAAAAACTATATAAATATTTTTCATACATATAATGATATAAAGAAATAATAGACTAATTGGTTATCATAAATAACTATACCGTGTTTTCATATCCTAAATTAATTAAACTTAATATATACATATCTTGAAAACATTATAAAATACACTAATTGTCTGCACTTTTAAATACATTTATTTCAATATATTTACTTCAATCTCTTTCGCTGACTATATTATGTAAAGCATATCACAAGTTTATCAAAACAAGTTTCTTAAAGTAAATCACAAGTTCCTTAGAGTAGACTAGAACTCCCGTGAAGCACATCAAAGTTTCTTAAAGCATAGTAGAAGTTTCTTAACAGAAGAGCCGACATTTGTAAATTTTAAAAAGTTTAGATATCAAAATGTGAGGGAGAAAATATTTAGGTACTAGATATACTTATACATCAATATTTTTAGAACTTATATGTTAAAATTTTAATTTTACACACTAAATATTAAGATTTATTAAGTTTAGGTGTTAAACTATAATTTGTATGTGAATCTCAATGAAAGCAATGCAGAATATGAATGGGGAAGAGGGGGAAGGGATGGCAATGGGTCGGGTTAGGTCATGTTTGGTCAAATTCAAATTCAAACTCATGTGTTTATCTGTAAAAAAAAACCCGGGGTAAAATTCATTGGGTTTGGAAAACTCAAACCCAACCCAACCAGCTGGGTTACCCATGGGGTTTTGTCGTAAAAAATTTACAATAACAAGTTCCTATCATAATAAAAGTTAAATATCAATCTCTGAATACAAATTATCCTTATATAAAACACCATTCTAGAAAATTCAAGCATATCACAAATTAACCATACAAATTGTTCAACATCAATCTAGAAAACTCAAGAGAATAAAAGCAAATCACAAATTATCCATAAACAACATGATTAATTTAAAGCTTCTTCTTCCTTGTCAATTAAGCTTCTTCACTCTCCACTCGATAATATCAACTTCATTCTACAAAATTAGAAAGAAAAAATTAGTTATGTCTCCACAAACATAAATAAGATTAGTTGCTTAGAATACTAAATATACCGAGAAAATTAATTATATGGGTGTGGGCAGGTATCCATGGGGTGGGTATACCTAAACACGGGTTATACCCGTGTTGACCGGGTTGGGTTTGGTAGGGTACCCGTGGGTTCGGGTTTTGTTGTCGTCCTTAGGAGAGGAACATACCACAAGTTTCTAAAAACATACCAAAAGTTACTTAAAACACACCACAAGTCCCCTGAAGTATACCAGAAATCTCATAAAACAAATAACAAGTTTATTAAAGCACAACATAACCTCATAATACCACAAATTTCTTAAAACACAATACAAAGAAACTTCATAAACCATACAATAAGTTCATTAAAGCATACCACAAGTTTTTAAAAACAGAACACAAGTTTCTTAAAGCATACCATAACATTGGACCTATTTGTAAATTTTTAATATTTCAGTTATCAAAATGTAAGGGGAAAAAGATTTAGATACTAAAATGTAATTTTCATCAATATCTCAGGATTTACTTATAAAAAAATATTTTTAGGCACTAAATATGTATATATATTTATCTCATGTCATAAAAGTGTGATTTTTACATAAAATCACAATGAAAGATAAGTAAGAAAGGAAAAGTTCTGCTTGCAGCCTGGATAAAGCCTCTCTGGTTTCATAATTGAGGGTTCAAAGGCATGTCTTTTGTCTGCTGTATTCTTCTTTTAGGTTGTTGTATAATGAAGTAGTGGTCAGGTTTTGTTAGATGTATAGTGGTAGTGCACTGAGATGGTCATACTATATGATGTACTTGTGCTTTTCATCAAAAGAAAAAAAGGAAAAGTGGAAGGAAAAAGAGAATAATAATTAGGGTATTGTCTATTTTTTATTAAAAAAAAATTCAGTATTTTTAATATTATTTAAATCTATTAAAATCCTATTAATTATTCAAATTTTTCATAATGCATAAAAATATTAGTTATTTTTACGTTATTATTTAATAATTTTGTAACTCTTTTCTTTGTTAAAATACAAAAAATTATAATTTTACCTACATGTGTATCTTCCAAGTCAGTATCATATTATCAAGTCAATATTACTAACAAAATTGTTAACTAAAATTTAATATTTAGTTAATTTTTAGTATTTTGATAAATTTGTATAATATAAAAGAATCCGAAAAAAGTTGAATAAAAAATAAATATTACTTTATTAATTACTATAATAAGTTTTATTAAAACTGTTATTTGATTATCTCCTCCCGAGACGTACACAATCATTTTGAACACTGGAGTAGGTTTATTCTGGATTCCCCCAACGTAGCATGGTTTATTTCTCTCAAAACTTTTAAGAATTCGGAGCACGTTGTGCTCTAACTTTGACATCAAAATATTGATTACTGTTAACTTATAAATTTCTAATAATATTTTGTAATTCATATAAACTTTTAAATGCAGTATCTTTATTAAATTAAAGTTGGACATACAAAACTACATACAGATTAATCACGTAACATACTGTCACCGTGTCACGTTGTTGCTAGCTAATTTTTATTATTATCATAGTCAGATAAAATAGTAGACAGATATGTTTACAATAGGTAAAAGTAACGGCAGTCAATACTAATCGATCTGCCGATGAAAAAGCCCTTTATGCCACAAAATGGGCAGCTCTGTTAGTTCCTAAGAATAGAGTGACAAAAACACTAAACCTTAAAAAAGGATATAAGTTTCCTCCGCAACTACACCATAGTGCCTTAGAGTTCTCCGTGCCTCCACCTAGGATCAGAGTCCGCTTACTCGTGCCAAAAGTTACGGGCCGCATCACCAACCTGAAGTGCAAGCTACCCTGCAAAACAATGAACAAAAAAATAGATCCGGCCCAATAGGCCTAAGAGAGTGGCCCAAATGTCACGAGTGCCAACGCATCAGCAGCTGGAAAGATTTCCGTTGTCATCGTCTCCACTCTCCACTCCTTCACCGAAGTAAAACGCCAAACAACCACTTGAAAAGCAAGAGTATGTGGAATTCTCAAAAGAATAACCTCCACGAGTCATCACTCCACCACCGCTAAAACAAAAAGTCAGACAGACATATCCATCCCACCGCACTACTTTTTGCCGGATAAGGATGAGGAGGTCGAGCATGTCGCCGAGCAACGAAAACCTCGTACGTGACCACCAGTCTCGAGTCGACGGCGTAAGCCAACGGGGAAGAAAAGTAGCAGGGGAAGAGAGCAATGTGAAGAAACTTGCAAAAACGGAAGCAGAGGACACCCACAAACAGCAAATCCAATAGAGACCCTCCAAATATGTGTCACACCGAAAAATGAAAGATTGACAACCTGGCTTATCCCGAAATTTGGAGTTAGATCCAAAAGGGAAAACCCCCTGATAACTCAGCTAATCTGATGCAGGAAGGGAGGTGTTGGTGAAGGCTCTGATGAGATTGGGATCCGGCTGAGGGAGGAGGACGGCGAGGAATCGGAATCTCAGACGGCAGACATGCAGGAGCTGGTGGTGATATTCATGCATCCCTGCGAGATCCAGCTTGTCTGGAAGCCGCAGGAGCGGCGGATGTCGAAGTTGGGGAGGGAATCATTGATGAGCTGCTGGTAGGATCGCCAGCAGGAGTTGGCGGAGCTGAGAGGAGGGAGGAATCGGGAGGTGCGGCGGAGGTAGTCGGACTGGATGAGGCGGAGGCCCTGGCGGATGTACTGGCAGGTCTGGGAGCTGTCGATTGCAGGGGAATTCGAGGGGTCGTATAGGCGGCGGAGGCCGGTGAAGTCGAGCGGGCAGGTATAGCTGCTGCGGTGGTGTTTTGAGCGATGGCGACGGTTGTCAGTAGTGCGGCGAGGAGGAGGAGGCGGAGGAGGGCGGCGGATCGCAGAGAGATAAACTTTCTCTCTTCCTCGCCATTCAGAAAATTGAAATTCTACTAGCAAGTAAAAAAAAAAAAGTACAATAAAGAACACTAATTAGGTAACCAAAACTTAGACGCATATATTATTCAATCACTAATTAGTATTCGATATTTACTACCGTCAGCACATCTCGATCTGATTGCTTGCTACCTCTGGACCCTCTGCATTACATCACTCATAACTCGCACACGTGACACGCCACACTGAAAACCAAATGCAAGGCTTAATTGCAAGTTTGGTCACCCGAATTGTTTAAAAATTTCACGTTTGTCACCCGAATTGATTTATTCCATTTATAGTCACTCGAATTAATTGAACAGTCCAAGTTCGGTCACTCTCCGTTAACCTCCGTTAGACTCCTTTAATGACGAACGTTAAGTGATGATGCGGCTAACATAAAGACACAGTCAGCACATTTAAACATTAAAAAACGACGACCCAACCCGCCAGCTCAGCCTTACCCGCCCAGTCAGCCATTCTTGCCCAACCCGTGAACCAACCCAATTAATTGACCCTAAACCCAAACCCGAGACCCAACCCCCCTGAAAAGTAAATGGCAGATGGATTAGGGCATTTCCCTTCCTCCATCTTCATCCTCTCATCCTTTCCATCTCATGGACTTGATAGCATCCCACATTGCGTCGAACAAGCAATTCTTACCCAGAAGGTCGACCACGAGGTTCCAAGCGTAAGGGGAATGATCGTCGTCGAGCCGCAACCCGCTCCACCTGAAGAACTTGACGGTAGGGGCCGGGAAAGAGTAGGAGAGCTTGAGAACTTGCTCAACCTCGGCCTGGGTGACGCCGATGCCGGAGCCGTCGAGGACTTTCTCTATGGAAGGCGACGGGGGTTGTGGCGATGATCCCGCAGAGGAGTTTGAGTTTCGAGGGGAGATTCGGGACATTGGAGTACGAAGGAAAAGCCTGTCGCTGGATTGGGTGGTTAATCGCAGAAGACGACGACTGGTGGGGATTTGAGGATGGCGAGGGAACCGAATCATGTTGTTTCCCGACGGGAAGGTCGCCGTCGCGGTTGGCGCCGCTGTTGTAGTGGCTTTCGCTCTCCCTACCCTCCGCCGCCATTTATTGGTGGCCGATTTGACGGATTTCGACTGCTCAATTCACGGGAGGACGAAGGAAGGAATGAGGGAACTGAATCAGACTCGAGAAATTGAACCCTAATCCATCTGCTATTTACTTTTCAGGGGGGTTGGGTCTCGGGTTTGGGTTTAGGGTCAATTAATTGGGTTGGTTCGCGGGTTGGGCAAGAATGGCTGACTGGGCGGGTAAGGCTGAGCTGGCGGGTCGGGTCGGGTCGTCGATTTTTAATGTTTAAATATGCTGACTGTGTCTTTCTGTTAGCCACGTCAACACTTAACGGTCGTCATTAACGGAGTCTAATGGAGGTTAACGGAGAGTGACCGAACTTGGACTGTTCAACTAATTCGAGTAACTATAAATGGAATAAATCAATTCGGGTGGCAAACGTGAAATTTTAAGCAATTCGGGTGACCAAATTTGCAATTAAGCCCCAAATCCAATTTGAACCCACAAAATATTTCCTGTTTGTATTATATACATTAATCGAAGTTTTCTTTCGTCTAAGTCTATGAATTATTGTGCAGCAATATAATAATAACAATCTTTTGCTGGTGCCAGCGAGCTTCCATACCCCTGATCTCTTTAGCAGAAAAAAACAAATAAAAATAATATCCCCAACAACCTTATCTTCAATCAAACATATATTGGGAAAACCTTGTAAAGAAAATCAATCAAACATATATGTATATCTTAATTTTAAAGAAAAGCAACATGTTTCTTGTGATGTACCTAAATTTTGTGCATGAGCCTCTGATGCTTTGTCTAGGAATCATAATGGATTGGATTATTTAGATAATTTGAGTTAATTATTATGATTTACATGAATATTTGATCGAATTCAAGCATATGTATGTTTATAATTTTCTATTTGAGTTAAGTTTGAAATGAGTTCAATTTGAGCCAGACTATTTTATTTGAATCTAGATTATTATAGACATAAAAATAATATTGATCATCTTATTAGCTTCCTTTTAACCCAATTCACATATTTAATATTGACGTTTCCACATTTAATTTATGTTTGTTTCATAACAAAGGAAAAAACGTAAAAACCGTATTAAAATTTAGTATTTATATTCTTCTGAATACCCAATATATATAGTAAATCTAATTTAAAATCACATTGCATGATTATATATAAATCTGTGTCAACAATGTCATTACCAAAGTTGTCAACCAGCAGATCGATTCCCGAATTTACCCTACCCAATGAGAAAAACGAACCACAAACACGTGGTCCATCCGCCACAAGATTCCCAAATTGAATGTCACACAATATCATTTTCACCAAAATTGTCAATCGCCGATGGACAACATTTGAATAATTTTTGTCTCCATACCTATTATTTCGAAAGGATAGATGGAACATGTGGAGGAAGGCACCGCACAACTTGTTTGACGCAAAAGTAACAAGTTGATTAAAGTCTCGGTTGCATTACATTCAATATTAGTGTGTCATATTATATAATTTCAGCAGTAACCCCGCGACTTAAGTCTGCAGTATCTCTCTCTATATATACTTGGGAGTCAAGCCACCACTTGGTCTCAGAACTATACCAGAGAGAAAAGTAAGCAAAGCTAAATATCAAGCCCATTCATTCATTCATTCATCAAAATGGGCTCAATGGGGAAGGCGAACAAAGTGCTGGTGATCGGAGGAACCGGCTACTTGGGCAAGAGGCTGGTGCAGGCCAGCTTGAACTCCGGCCACGACACCTACGTCATGCACCGGCCGGAGATCGGCGTCGACATCGAGAAAATCCAGCTCCTCCTCTCCTTCAAGATGCAGGGCGCCCACCTCGTCTCCGCCTCCTTCGACGACTACCAGAGCCTCGTCGACGCCGTCAGCCTCGCCGACGTTGTCATCTGCGCCATCTCCGGCGTCCACATCCGCAGCCACCAGATCCTCCTCCAGCTCAAGCTCGTCCAAGCCATCAAAGAAGCTGGTAACGTCAAGGTAAATATCATCGAAATATTTTCCCCTTGCCGACACACTCACACTTTCTCTGCACCGTGTCGTAAATCAACTGCTCCCAACAAAATTATTGAGAGCGCATGATACTTAACCGCGATTTTATATATCGACCGGAATATTAAGACTTTTGAAGATTTGAATATATGAAGAATAAATCAATTCTAATATCATATATCATAAACACTCTCAAAAAGTTTTTGCCCTTAATTAGTACTTGTGTTGACTGGTAAAGCAACGGTAGCCTCTCTCAACTCGAGTTATTGGGATCAACTGGTTCATAACATGTTGTATGCAGAGATTCGTGCCGTCGGAGTTCGGAACAGATCCGGCGAGGATGGAGGAGGCGATGGAGCCCGGGAGGATCACGTTCGACGACAAGATGGTGGTGAGGAGGGCGATAGAGGAAGCCGGGATCCCCTTCACTTACGTCGCCGCCAACTGCTTCGCCGGTTACTTCCTCGGCGGACTCTGCCAGCCTGGCTTCATTCTTCCTTCTCGAGAACGCGTCACCTTGCTTGGAGAGGGAAACCAAAAGGGTAATACCCTACGTCCCTACGCTAACCTACCCACCATTACTACGTACCTTACACGGAAAAAAAAAAAGAGAAGAAGCTTGAGTCACTAAATATTATATTTATTACTTCGATATTTATTTGCCACGTAGGGATCTACGTGGACGAGGACGACATAGCCGCGTACACGTTGAAGGCCATCGACGACCCTCGAACCCTCAACAAGACGATCTACGTGAAGCCACCAAAGAACGTGCTGTCCCAAAGAGAAGTGGTTCAGATCTGGGAGAAGTATATTGGCAAAGAGCTTCAGAAGACCGTTCTCTCCGAGCAAGAGTTTCTGGCTGTTATGAAAGGTCGTCAGACTGTCTGCTTTTTTTCAATTTTGCTTCCTTTTGAATTATTACTATTTCACTTGGTAATTATTATATTAGTTATATTGAAGGCTTTTGTTGTTTTGTTCTGTGTGTGGTTTGGTTGATAGAACAAAACTACGCGGAACAAGTTGGACTGACGCACTACTATCACGTGTGCTACGAGGGTTGCCTCGCGAGTTTCGAGGTTGACGACGACCAGGAGGCCACCAAGCTGTACCCGGAGGTTCGCTACACCACCGTCGAGGAATACCTAAAACGCTACGTTTAGGTAGTCGGAGAGTTTCCGTGGTATTTCGTTTACGATAAAAGTCACCGTGATGTCGTTTTATCAATGGAGATTGTATTTCATTAATTAAGCTTGGGTATCTTCGTTATGTGGTGGTGTTGTAATCCTGGCTAGCTCTAGCTACCTCTACCTGCAGCAGCAGTCTCCATGTTTGTCAATCAATTATATATGATTTATTATCTGGGCTAATTAATATATTGTATTGTCTGTAAAGCGTTTTGGGGTTTGAATAATGTACAACACCGAGAATGCATGTGATGATTCCGTCGGTAGTGTATCAGATGAGCATCTATCCTCTTTTTTTGTTGTTGTCATTTGCAGTACAACAAATATCTTTGTAAAAATAAAGGATTCAAATGCGGCGGTCGACAGCTAATCGATCCACTGATAAAAGTGTCATTCATGTCGCTCATATTGTTGTACGGGTTTCCCCTTTTCCCCAACTGCACAATCCTAGCTATAATTACTTCACTAAATTGTTGAATTAATATATATATATACCTTTTGAATCTTAAATTACGAGTGTTTTTGACACTTGCATACATTGTCGATAATAGTGACTGTCCTACAAATTGGTAAATGAATACCAGCCATCAGCAGAGATCAATTATATTCTTATAGACAGCTGATTGTATCAAATTCATGAATTTAAAATTTATACGGATGGAAATAAAATGCACAGTGTGTTTAAATGTTAAAACACTACAAGAATTTGATGGTAATTAATCTCGAGAGTAAATCACTTTTATCATCATATAGCATCAAGGATTGTTTCAAGGAAAGAAAGAAAAAAAACCCCTAATGATCTTCTGATTAATGTATATTATAGCCATCTAATAGTGGTAAATTGACATGATGGTAATAAGTTGAAAAAATATATTGAGATAGAATATTCTGACCCCTAGAGATTAGTCAATAATAATTCAGTAGGAAAAAAAAAATCAACGGGGTAGCCCAACTGCTCTTGGAGTTGGTGGGGAATGATGTATTATTAGTGACGGGGTGGTGGGTACGATTACGAAGGCAGGGTCGCTATTTATATATCTTGACTTGCGGGCACCCATATCGTTCAGAGTCAGATGACAGAAACACGTGCATCGACACCGGTCGGTGAACGATATTAATAATATCCATTTATTTATAAGAAGCTGGCTGCTGCTACACTACAATTATTTTCCTGTCCATAAGCACAGATGTCGTTTTGTGCAGAGAGGCGTCAGCAGCCCCCGTCTTTTGAATAGCATGGATCGTTTTATATTTGATAAAATAATTTTTGAAATTTTGATAATAATAGTTATTGTTTTTTCCTACAAATATACATGTTTCTCCTATAAAAAAAAACTAGAGTTAAACGAAGTGGGATTGCACCTTTGACTTCTTAATAAACGATTAAACGAACACCAGTATAACATGATCTTTTTGTTGAACGATATTGATGCACCAAATGAGAATGACTAGCCAGCTGAAAGAAGACCTCACGGATGAGGAAGAACATAAACGACTGTTCAGACTTCAGAGGCTAGCTGAATACGAGAATGGAAATATGAAGAAGAAAAGAAGAAAAAAAGGACCACAATACATATTGCAGGATCGGCACCAACCATAAAGGGGTCGTTTGCTTGATGGATTTGGGTCATGGATTTGGGACTCAAATCCCAAGCATGATGGATTTTAGCCAAGTCCATTGTTTGTTGTCATGTGTTAAATCCGTGGGGTCCACGGATTTGTTCCCTTTTTTGGATCCAAAATCCGTGGACCCCACGGACTTGTAAATCCCACATATTGGGGTGGGATTTGTAAATCCTTGATGGCTAGTTATATTTATAGCAAATCCATCATAATTACATCATCAAATCTATCATGCAAACAATAGACTCTTCAAATCCATGATGGTACAAATCCCTCATAAATCCTAAGGTTTTTTTGAGCCAAAACCCTCATTTTTCGAATCCAACAAGCAAACGACCCCAAAGTGGTCGACCAAGTATGCTAAGGGGAATCCAACTGCTATCACCTTCTCCCATCGCCGCTCTAACTAAGTTGCTGGGGATTCGATAAGAAGGGAACCGTCAGTCCGGCGAAATCGAAACCTGGCCGTCTCCAGATCCGACAAGAGAACTTTGGATCTCTCCACCTGTGATTGCCTTCCTTCCTTCCATCAAAAGCCATTTTATCGGTGGGTCGCCGATAATTGAACCCAATTTTTATCATTCATTATTGAGCGGAACTCAAATGAATTCATATGCATTTTAATTAATGCAATCAAAATCGTGTATGTGCGTAAAAGCAGTTTGGCGACCTAAGAACGTAAGCGTTTTTAGTTTTAATGCATGATTTTGACTACATAGCTTTTAATGATTTTAGATTGGGTTTGAATTGGATCCAATTTGGGTCAACTCATTTGGATCTGTCTCAAACGAGTCTATTTGAGTGCAGATGATAATGCACAAAGAAAGACAATATCGACTGTACGTGTCACTAACTTTCTTTAACCAAATTTCATATTGGTGTTTTCACATTTCTCTTTGTCTCGTAATAAAGAAAAAGGAGAAAACGCATTAGAATCGTGTTCCATTTTCTTTTGGGTATTCATTATCATGTGTTTAGGTTAGATCTAAACTAAGAAATTGGGAATGAATGTTTTCCCCAAAAGTGATATTACATAAATCCAGTTTGATCTATAAAGAATGAGACATATTATTTGCCGCCAACTCAATTAATATTTCTCGTCAACTTTTTTTTATATAGTTTTAGTTACATTTTATTTATATAAGATTTTGGGAAGTGATTGTTTCACAATTATAACAAATATCAAACTCACCCAACTTCAAAAAACTTAACAATTGTAAAAATCAACGTTCTTCGAAAAGTCACCAGAAAATTCGCCAAAAAAGTAGCCAGAAAACTCACTAGAGAAACTTTCAAACTCTATACCCTAATTCAAACCACCTAAACTCTAAATCCAAACCAACTTATTTTTAAATTTCAATTGCATACAAACCTAATTTATTCCCTAACTCCAACACTAAACTCACTAATTCAAACCCTAAACTCTAATTTAAAAATAAATTATGTTTAGTGTTTCATTTTAGAAACAATTTTTTCTACCCTCCCAAACCCTAAACCCTTATTCTCACCAAACCACCAACCTTCTACCTTGATACATCCAATCCTACTATGACGTCATCTTAGAGACCAAATCGTTCCAACCTCTACTAACAACAATAGTTTACATCATCAAAAGACTCATTCTAGTCCCAAGAAACTCGATGTTTTGACCCCCGGGGCTACCGAAAACCTCGATCAAAGTTTTGACACTATTCATGACGTCTTCACCTGGGACCTCAATTCGAGAAACGAGTGATTCCTATGCATTTAGGATCACATTTCAAGGGACCAATGAAGTTTTGGGTAATTTCTAATGTCGGTAGCGTGAGAAAAGATCGGTTTACAATTAATAAGCACACTAATAACCGTTGTTTGACAAACATTGAATACGAAATATCTGTCGTTGACTGGAATGCACGAGGTCTCGGGGTGAAGCGCTCGGTTAGGGAGTTCGGGGGCAACAACACTTATCCAGTATCCACGGTGTATGCTCTTATATATGTTTTTTTCCCTAAGTAAACATAGTATTTTTGGCAACCATAATTTATTTCTAAGTTATTCAACGAAAAAAAATTAGTACTAAGTTTTAAAATTTATCAGCACAATGAACTAATTATCAAATCAAATATATAATTTTAAAATTTTACAATCAATAATCGAAACAAAAACATTAATAATCTTAATATCGTCAGAATTTGGTAGGACCAAAAAAAATCTGGCGGCCGTAGCGTATTCGGGTTGAAATATTACAATGGTCGGAGCCTGGTCGTGCCGAGAAATCCCGGCGGCCCGTCGTGGTTCCGTAAAAAATAAAATTTTCCGACGATCGTTACAAGGCCGGGCTGAAGGATTCCGGCGGCCAGAGCCTGGTCGAGCCGAAAATTCCTGGCGGCCCGTCGTGGTTCTTGCCAAAATTAAATTTTCGTTGGCTAGTACCTGGTTGGGTCGAAGTATTCCTTCGGTTGGAACCACGACGTGCCGCCGGAAATTTTTGGCCCGTCGTGATTCCGGCCGAAGGATTCACAAATCTTGTCGGAAAATACTGGTCGACGGTGAAACTTTGTCTGCCGGCGATTATGTTTGAGATTATAGGATTTTGTAGAATTATATTATTGAATTTGAAAAATTATAAAAATAAATTATAAAAAAAGTTGGATTTATGTAGAATTTTGTAGAATTATGTTGGCGGCAAATAGCCATCCACTTTGGTTCGGTTAATACTAAATTATTAGGTCTTTTTTGTCATCTCTAATTTGTCACATCTCCCATGTCCTAACTCTCCTTAATTAGCGTACCTGGCGAATTCACCCGGACTACCCAATTTCTCTTTGGATGATCGAAAATCGTTAATGCCGCTGGACTAAATCCATGAATGTATCGTCTTCCTATTCAAACAATTTAGAGAATCATGAATACTTGGGACTGCCAAAATCGTAGGCAGAAACACATTGACACTTTAGACAACATGATGGAGGGGTGGTGTGATACCAGAGAATGGATCTTGAAGATGTAGCAAATTTGATTTTGAGCACATCCCCAAGAAAGCTAATGAGGTGGAGGAATTAATTTTTTTTACCCTGTTTATCCTCTCTTCGTGGGATGTTTCAACTATTTATTACATGTACAAAAGAGAACATTGTTTTTATACAAAGTCCAAACTATGCATTACACTTCTCATACATACCTTGCTTTCACCACCATGTACTCTGAAAATTTGACGAGTTGGTTTCCCTAAATCGGCTATTTCCACCATAATAATGTTTTAAATTATCGAGTTTCTCATAATGACCCCACATTATGTACTCTCTAATCCAAGGTTTTTGTCAAAGTGATTAAGGGGTCGTTTGCTTCATGGATTTAAAAATGAGGGTTTTGTAATTTAAAAACCCAAATATTTATCAAGGATTTGAGGCATCATGGATTTGTAACAATCCTTTGTTTGTTGGGATGTTTTTATCATGCATTTAAAGGTGTGGGATTTACTACTTGAAGTCAAAAATTACATTACTGCCCTTTTCTATATGTTTGACATGTTTATGATATGTACACCAAACAAGGACAAAACTTCAAAATTACCTTACTATCATTTTCTATATGTTTGACATGTTTATGATATGTACACAAAACAAGGACAATACATACTAATAAGCATAATGTTGCCACATGGACAATAATAATAAACGAGAAAATTCTGTTTTAACTTTTAACGTAACATAATTAATTACCAATTCTTTGTCCTCCTTTTCAAAAGTAACATATAACAACATATATTAGAATCGGGAGAATAAAGAATTACATGTTCCATGAAAAGGTCAAAGAAAACTAGAACACAAGAAATAATATAAAAAATCTAACTCATGTTTGCACATTAATTGAACGTTTATATTATTCATTTATTGTTAATTATAATGTATAATAGTTAAATTTGAGGGCAACCTTGGAATATTAAAAGTGCATGAGGGTATATGGGTAAAATCTCATCAAGGATTTATGTCATATTCCAAATCCCACATCAACATGTGGGATTTATAAGTCCGTGGGGTCCACGGATTTGGACCCTTAAAATCCATGGGCCCCACGGATTTGGTCTCCAAAAAAGGTGCAAGCAAACAACGGATTGTACCTAAATCCTTGATAGTTGGTTTTTTTGTACCAAATCCATGTACCAAATCCTTGAAGCAAACGACCCCTAAGTTGCTTATGGACGAGACGAGCACATTGCTCATATGATTTATCTTCTTCGATTTGCACTGTGGATTCTGGTCGAGTTTGTCCTTGACGTTTGAATCGTCTTACATATTGGGTGGTACAGGCAAGCTAGGGAGGGTTCTGTACCAGTAGATTGGGTTTTAATTATCATCTCTCCATTTCTATAATGTAATCCTAATTTTTCCGATTTCACTTAGACTAGAAGGTCGTTTTCTGTATAAAAAAAATAAAAAGCTCATGAGTCATGACACCACTATGTGGAATGTCAGTTTTGCTTTTAGAATCAAACTTCTCTTTTAGGGCTGGTTTCATCATTTTGTGTAACTTGGTACCTTAGATGAATTTCATGTTACGAAGTTGTCGCATCACATTTCATTTATAATCTTTCTTTTCTTTATTTCTCTCGTACAATAACTTAAAAGAATTCTAGATTTACGATCAACTTATGATAAATGTACCATAAGTTAGCATCTAAAAGTATATTTTAAAGACCAGTGGCTTCAAATTGTGGGCACGGACAACAATGTTTGATTTCGTTACACTAGACGGGTAATGTGTGCCACATAGTTTGAAGAAAGCACATGCACGAGATTGAATTTTAAGTATACCGTGAATGCAATTTCACGTTTGATTAATTTTATTGGCCTGTCATATTTCATTATCTATAAAAATTAGCTATATCAAGAGAATACCAGAATCAGGTGTTTTCCACATTGAGATCATATTATGATCCACATTTTTATACTCAATTTTCCAATCCAATCCCAATGGCGAAGAACTCAAATTTATATTTTGATCTCTAATAACATCTATCTCAACTTAAAACGAAATATCTTTTCACATTAATTGACCGATAAATCTTTTTACAACCCGCTTCAAAGTGCATACCAATTATCTAGTTTAAATATTTAGTGGCAATTGATATGTAAATAATCCACCCCTAACTAAATTGATTTCCTCCCCATATGAAGTGCATCCTGCCGTATCAATAACCCATGAACTATGTTTATAACCCAATAGTGTGTTCGCCTATAATAACATATAGCTTCCATTAAGTCATATCATACTTAATCCATGTTCGGTGTACTCATCTAAATTGTACGAATAGTGTTTCTACCTAACTATCACAAATTCTTGTGATTCAAAACCTAAAAACTTTTTTTTTTTCGGTAATTAAAACCTAAAAACTTTTTAACGTTACGGTCGGAAGTAAAAATCGGGATGTTGTAATAAAATTAAATAATTAACTATCGAGAACTACGCACGTAATCCGCTCTTTAACTATATTCTCGAAATAAAATCTTATTGATTGTTTTCTTACTTTGCCTTTTGTTTTGTTTTTGTTTTTGTTTATGAAAAGAGAACCACAAAAATATTATTTGTTCCCTGTTTAATTTAACAAATTCACGGCTTATCGGTAATAACAACCTACACCTTATGACGAGGACACACCCAACTTCTCCAGAAACTCGCTCGAAGTTCGCCATAAATCTATCGACCTATATATACGCAATGACATTCTCCTCTCCCTGCCACAATCAAGCAGTAAAAGAAATCAAGCAACCATCCACATTCTTTGCTGCCAAACAACAACAAAAATGGGATTCTCCATTGCACCTTCTTTGATCATTCCACAGGCCATCTTCATCATGCTGCAGCTTCCACTACTAATGAACGCTAGACCACTATTTTCACCAATGGCGATCGCCCCTGCCTCTGCGCCTGCTCCAAGCCCCGCTGCTGCAACGAACCTGGTCGGTGAAGTTTGCAAGAAAAGCAACATCGATCCGACGCTCTGCATCGCGACCCTGCGATCGATTCCCGGAGCAGCATCAGCGTTCGACGACATCAAAGCTCTGGCCGAACTAGTCATGGAAGCCGCCAGGGAAGAGTCGAAGGTCTTGGGCGAGATGTTCGGCGAGATTCTGAGCAGCAAAGACGCGAAGAACCCGAAGTTCAAGCATTCGCTGGAGTTGTGTGCTCTCGACTATAATGATGCGGCCATCTTCTTCACGACCAGAGGGCTGGGGGACGTGACGAAGAGTTTGGAAATACATTCTGCTTTGGATAACTCTCAGAACTGCGACGGCGAGCTGGTGAAGATCACGAACCGTGGTGGTGCCGGTCTGATCGATGACTCGATCCCGGCTGCTGTTCAGAGGTGGAAGAATCTGTACGCAGTGGCCAATGGAGTCGTGCTGTATGCTGAAGATGTGTTCAAAGGCAACCCTGTGGATGATGGCCAAGGAGATGACGACTGCGGACCAGATTACTGAATCTGCTATCCATCTATATCTATAAGAATTGTAAGGATTATTATGAAGTGTTTTCATGGAAGGAATTGAGGAGACACGAAAAGAAGTCTTTTGAAGTGTAGTTAGGGCTTCATAATAACTGCTGCTTTTAGGAGTGGAAACTGGAAAAATAAACTTGACAGAGATATGTAAAAGAAAGACTTAACCATCCAAACAATTTGGCAATGTATGAAAGAACAGGAACTTCAACATTTCTATGAACAGGCTGGTAACTATGGGACTAGATTTCCTTCCTTTCCAAAGTAAATTTCTATGCAAAAACTACCAGATGAGCGGCAAAAAGAAACCAGATGATAGTTCCATTTGACAGGATTTGATGGATTTGAGGGACCATCTCTGCTCCATACTACCAAATTGAATCATGACAGCAAAGTTGGAGGACAGAATGGGTATACATGGGTCTGCAAGAATATATTCTAGACCAAGAGGTCACTCTTAAGATGGATCCAAGTTGGGAACAATTGCAGATGACAATTCAATATGAGAAACACGAACTGCCCCAATCAACCGTTCCGGCAACTCATCCGTAGCGTTTGCCTGCACGAATTGCATCACAGTAACTTCAAGTAGGGTTGAGCTAAATATTAAAGTGGGAGGAGCAGGAATTCTTTGATTGAGAAATTGTAAGAATACAGACAGGCTGTAACTTGAATAGAAGCGCAAAATTGCGTCAAACAAAAGGTCAATTTGTTTCAGATTTGAAGGATTAGGCTGGTAAGCAATGTCAGATAAAATGTGTACCTGTACAAGGAAAGCCATATCAACCACCAAGGTAGTAATAACGCCAATTACAAGGCCCAGTACCCCATTAGCAACAGTGGAAGAACCAATATCGACGTCCACCTATGTTCATAAACCATCATCAGACAAACGAATCGTATCATGGTGGGGCTTGACAAGAATTTTCAGTAATATACAAAGTCCCAGACAGTCCTTACTTCAAGGTAGTCTGGGCCACGGATGTAGTTGCAGTCAACTGCTTTCCCCAATAAACATGGGGTACTTCCTACACTCTGGCGTACAATCCATGAGCCCTGTGGGTTTCACATATAGACACAAATTTATACACATTCTGAGTTTTGAGAACTCTAGGGAGTGTTTCATGCAATCAAAATTCCAATGTCAGTGTATCGTCTCAATCACTGTTCAGTTCAGATGAAAATGGAGAGGGAGTTCATCTATTGATCAAAGAGGTGGAAGCTATAGATGGATCTATTTACAACGTTACAAAAGCTCTAGCAAGAAAACATTAATTTATCGTTCAGCACAGGCTATCAGGGAGGAGAAACTACCTTGGGAACTGATGGAATAAGTTTGAACCTACTGTTGCGGAATTCATCATCTCCATCAACAAACCGCTGCAACAGAGATCCAGGTACTAATGCTTTCGTCACAAAGTAAAACACCATGCTGTAATGAGTTGAAGCAGGGACCTGCATAACGATATAAAGTTACATCAAGGACCAAATTGTCCACAGAAACAAATGTGATTTTATCGTCCAAAACAATTAACTTACTTGCAGATTAAAGACCACAGTGAAGAGTCCTTTCTCCGAAGCAACCTAAAACCATAATATACCAGCAAAGGTGAAGCCATAAACTCGCGCTGGATATGAAGCTTGAAGAGAAGACAAACGAGAAATGCCAAATCCCACCCAGATATTAAAAGAACGATGAACTCTGAGGATAGATCAGATGAACTGAATAAGATTTTATCCTTTCATGCCTGAATTCACTCATCCTCTGGTTATTTTCCCCAAGTTTCCACAATTTGAACCCTTTTATGTAACACTAGACTACTCGGTCAAAGAAGGCTCTGTTTGCCCTGCTGTAGCTTTACAAACTCAAATTCTGATTTGAGCTTTCAGAGAAGTGCGGTGAAAAAACAATTGAGCATTTGGTTACTAAATTATCAAACGTACTTTTTAAAATAAGTTTTGTTAATGACTAAAAAGGACATTCAAATATCAAGAAAAATAGTCAAAATGAATCTTGTTGAATTTTGCACATGTTAGCTATATTATTTGAATTATTAAAATAAGTTAAATAAAAAATTTTGTTTGAGAAAGATAATAATAAAAAAGGAAAATACTGTACTTCCGGAACAGCTTTTCACAAAAACTCCATATCAAAACTTCTGCTTCCTAGCTTAACCGAAAGCCGATTTTGCGAAATGTTTGGCCCGATTATGCTTTTGGAGCAGGAAAGCTATTGGAAAAGCCAGGCCAAACATATGCGAAAAAGAAGATATGACACTAGGCTACAAGTCTTTGGCCAATTTACCCGTAGCAGTTAAACACAGACTAGCTGGCTTCGCTGTCCAGCAGGATATATTCATACAGTATTTCTCTTCCAGTTCTAGAGATCTTTGGGCAAATAGTTTCAATGCGAGAATTCAGAACAAACGACAAAATAGACTCGCGTGACCAACCATTGGGAAAATGTGCACGTGGAAGCACTCAGAATGTGGTGCACCATACAGCGGCATACAATGTGAGAAACAAGTTCATTTGATGGTGCTAAAGGTGTAGGAAATGATGGAAGAAAGACTTCTTACTTGTGCTGCACATCCTTGACGCCTTGCCACATGATCCATTCTTTTTGTGTCCTTGAACCAATCAACAGCAACTAGATCCATTAAGTGTTTTCCTGCGGGGATCTGCATAAAATGCCCCATGCATTCGGAAAACAATTATAAACATGTTATCTTACCAAGACAACAGAGAACTAAGTACCATAGGTAAGTCACCTTAGTTTTGTCAAAACAAAAATTCTTGCTGCGCACTCTAAAGTTGTTCCCGTCAGAAACTTTCCAGCAATCGCGGGCATTTTCTCGCTCATCATAGCGTAGATTACCCACAAACCAGGATAGGTCAATCTTATCTCCAGGTTCTTCTTCGGAAGCTTCATATTGAGAATTCTCTGATTAGATGGAAAAAGGTAACAGCACAAGCGAATCTGTGAATTTAAACACTTTTCTGGCCAGCATTCACCTGCTTTCTTCACATCATTCTCCTGACTTATTAGGTAAGCCTAAGTAGAAGAGAGAAATACAGTGTCAGAAGAAAATGTGGACAATAAATTTTTCAAGAAATTAGGGAACAACTCTCAGCAACCAGCCAACCTCCTGCTCTTCTTCAGCAATTTGAAATTCTTCATCCTCGTCAGAGTACTCATCCATCATGGCTGAGTTTCGGCCTGCCGTATTTATTTGATCAAGAGAAGCAGAGCGATGATGAACAGAAGATTCTTGCAACTTTAGACTCTTCTTAGAAGAAATAGAAGCAGAGGCCATGTTGACCATAACAGGTATTCTTGGTGGAGCCCCTCTTTCATCTGATTGGGCAAACCATTCACGCAATCCTGAAAAAGGGAGATACTTGAAAAACCTCAAAGTAGGACAATGATGATATGTTATCATACAGATTTAAATAAATTCGAGCTCCTATAGTCTAATCATCAATTGGTGTTCTTAACATGCACAACTTAATCAGAACCAAAACAAAATTGCATGCATCGAGTAATCCCATGGAAAGACACACAAACAGGCATCAAAATACTAGGGAACTCGTAGAATTATTGTATATTAAATGTAAATGACATAAACATAATATTTAAGGAAATGGTAAAAGGTTCGTTCTTGGATGTTCTCAAACAACTCAAGTTGATGGAGCAAACTAGGTGTTAACATGGCATCTGAGACTCTGATAAGCGAAAGAGCATGTTTTCGATTCCTGGTAACCGGCAATATTACAGTAGATTTGAGGACCATATCCATGGTTTGAATTTCATATGAAGGAGGTGTGTCACAATAAGGTACAAGATCCACTTTTGGAAACTTTTTCAATAGCACAACTCTTTTTTTATATGACCTAACCACATAATAAGCAAAACATGTCATATATACTCTTAAAACAAAATCAGGACAAAACAGAGGAAGGCAGAGGACGGCTTAATTAGTTATCAGAATGTTCACCATCAAACAAGCTACTGTAATTTCTCAGCTTCAAAGGCATAAGAAACAATAATGCTATAAGCCAGAGATCATGTCAAATGCCAGACTTAAGAGTTTACTATGGGGATAGTTTTTAAGTACAAAGCAAAGATGTCCATGGGGTAGTTTCTATAGTTGGCTGCAAAGCGCAACAATAGAATGTGGACCTTCACCAAAAACGTATCTGTCTTACTAAGTGTCCAGCTTACACGCAAAAAGAAAGCAAGACTGACATGTAATAGACAATCTAGCATCCAGCAATAAATGCCATTAGTCATTTGAAAGTGAAGGAGTTTTTAAGGAGATTTATACAAGCAAACACATACCAGCGACACTATTCAGCATCTGAAGGAGGCAGTGCTGCTGAAAAGATGAAATATAACCCACCCCCCATCCTTTCAAATCAATCTGGATAAGATGCTGAACCTGTGATCTGGGTCTCCCATTCCTAGGTTTCAGAGGAGAAATATTGAACCCGCCACCTGTAAATAGGCGAATTTACCATCACAGAAACCAAAACAATGGCCATACCCTGAATTTACAAGTACACCAAAAAGCATTCTAACTTACTCTCAATATGAGCCCGCACGTAACCTGGTTGTGGACCACAATTCTCATGCTCTCTAGACCGAAACAAGACAACTGAAAGAGAAAGAAAAAAAAAGACTCAGTTTCTAAGCCAGTCCAAATATAGGTGTCAACAAGGATTGAAAGATGAAACAACTTACCATAACTGCCATCGTCATTTCGACGCCAATAACGTACATAACAAAGGTCGCGTGGCCAGACAACCCTACAGACAGTCAGCACACAAGCACCAAAGTTGGGATGAATTCAGTAGAGAACAAACATAATGAGCACGGGGACCAATTTAAATCCACAGTGAATTGTTTTGAATAGCGTTCAGGCCAAGTAAACACAGCAGATCCAGTTCATACCCCACTCTCTCTTCCCTCCAATTTTGCTAGTAAAGTTGATGACAAAAGACACATTATGAAGTTATCAGAGACACAAACTCACAGCAGCAACAAAAAAATAACTCACTTTACTTTGAACAGAGCCCAACTCTCTGCAGTCCTCAATATCAATAGGCTTTCACCTCAACATCTTAACCACATGATAGGAAAATCTTATTCACACATGCAACCATTATTAAAACATTATATTCACTACTCTGAAAAAGCTTACTGCATAGTAGCTTCAAACCATCAGCCTTGACAACTTCTTTGCATGGACAAGCACCAGTAATTTGACAATTCAGAATAATGAAATACAAATTTTGAAACAAATTGATCTTTCTCTCGATGAGGAGAATGAAAATATACTTTCAGGACCCTAACATACTTGTGGAGAATGAAAATATAGTTTCAGGAGTTTTCCAGAAACATATTGCCCAGATGAATATTCTAACCTCAAGTTTCAACTTACCACTGATATATAGATCTCTCAAGAACAGAGAAAGAACAAAGTGCCCTTGTAATTCAATATATGGTAACCAACAGCCTGAGGGTTCCAAAACAAGGAAGGCACTTTTCATGTTAACTAAACCTAAGGAACCAAACAAAGTTCTGGGAACAACAAAATGGCCAAGGTTGCACCATGAAGTGGAAAACTCGAAGGAGAGTATCTTCTATATTTCCTAATCCTCAGTCAACTCATTCTGCTAGTTTCAGGAGATCCTGAAACGCCAAGGTATATTCCCGTAGGGCCATATTTAAATTATGGTCCTTGCTCGTTAAAGAAATTGTTTCTCAAGTTCTGTTGAAATTTATTGAGCATAGCCAAGAATAAAGCATAGGAAAGTTTATCTATTTTAATCTCTAGCAAAATCATAGTTGCTCAGAAAATTTGATAAAGCATAAAATCATATGAATGCATCTCTGACATATCAATAAACTCTAGTTTTTAGAGAATAAATGGCAGCAACAAAAAAAAGTCAAATTGCAGAAGCAATAGAATACTTTGGGATTTAATGTTATTCAGAAATTTCACCATGCTAAATCATATACAGCATTACAAATGAAGCTAGTATAACAAGAAAGAGTATTACGTTGAAAACCAATCCAGTTGAAGCCTGTGGTACAGTACTGCTGTATGGCCATCTACCTCCTCAACCAAACTGCCATACTGGAAACTGCAATCCCACCTGCGAGAGGCACATAAATACTGTGACAGGAACTCTGCAAGTATATGTGGTTGGAATCAGCAAAAAAGAGAAAGACAAGGATAAGTTCCTTAAAATAAATATACAAGGGCTGACAGTTACTATAACTAATACACTTGGAAAGATCCTAGATAAACATGGAATGGAATATACATGGACGTGCACATGGCACTGCCCCAAAAACAAAGAACTTTCTTCAATATCCAGTATTGGCAACTAATCCCACCAAACCATTTGCTACCAATGAAATTGCAAAGAATTTGGGATAAACATAACTACAAAAACACAAGCCGACAGAAATATGGTTGAGGGATACGTGTGGAAACTAGAAGTGCATAAATTTATACTAGTGCACAAAAACTCTCTACATATCAAAAGAATGTTCAACAAAAACTACTGAGAATACAAGAAAACCTACTCAAACCGTGTCCCATCCATGCTCATTACTTGTTCAAATATTTCTTCACAGGTAGCTTCAACAACACCCACAGCCTTCATTGCTCTACTACAGCTCCTTGGCTATGACAGCAGACAAAACAATAATGGTAATAAGATCACACAAGGCATATATTCTTTGCAGCGGGGAAATACGTAAAAGTTCATACAAGGTATTCAACTTCAAGAAGCTCTTCAAAGATGCGAAGACCTGTCCATCACAAGAAGAAAAAAAAAAAGGGAGTTAGATTGAACCAAGATGTTGGTTTTGGATCCTTTCCATTTTCATCTACTTAGTGAGGTTACGAACAAGGAGTTTTTGCGCGGGGGAAGTTACCATTTTGACATTGCAGCAGCCTCCAATGCTTTCTAGAAAATGCTTGATCATTAGCATTCTGGTTTGTTAATTCCAAATCAATTTCTCTAGTCCAGTCAAATACAGAATCAGGAGGGCCTGTCAATTAAGAAGATAAACAAATTGGTGAATAATACATTAATTGAAAATGACTTCAAGATGACAAGCAACAGAAACTAAACCATTTCCAATAGTTGTCCTCCGCAACAAATTCGAATTAGAGTCGTCTTCATCCTCTTGAGCACTAAACCTGAAAAAGATTCAGATGTTGGCGAATTATACATACAGCTGTCATTGATGCTATGCTATCCCTGAGTCAAACCACTAAAATGAAATCGTTCCAATTAGATTCAATAGCATGGAATACTTATTGAGATACAATGACATAGGACAATATGTCTCTCAAGTGCAGATAATATGCTCAAATGCTAAGCAAGGGGGCGAATTCGCTCAAATATGTCAGCTTCACAAAAGACTGCGAGACTGATGTATACTGTATTATGTGAAACAAGGAGAATGGTTCAAAAGGCACTCACTGACTTTCTTGATCTGAGGACGAAGCAGCCCTTCCATTATCCATCCCCGACTTACACTCAAAGGAGACATATTTGTTACCATTCGGCACCTGGGACTCTTGATGCTGCACACGACCTCAAGCAGTAAGTCAATATGCAAAATAATCTAGAACATAACAATCAAGTCCAGTTTAACCATAAAAAAAAATGAGGCAAGAAATAAGAACCCCAACGATACCTCCTAAGTAGATGTAACATACAACACACAACCAAGTACAGTGGGGAAAAAACTAGCTTATATACGGTATACACAACAAAATCGAAGTACAGTTGGCCTTGCCCCCAGAAGCCCAAAGTTCAAACTATAGCCAAAGGAAGATAATGACAACAGAAAACTAAAACAACCAAGTAAACCAACCTGGTCAATTACAAACTGAATCTTTTCCTTCCAGATCAGAGCTTCCTGGATGTTAAATGCTGCCATCTGAACAAAACCGCAAGATTGTCAATCATAGCAATACCAATGAATATAAGCAACCAATAAAACAGCAACACAGCTCAATCTGTAATAAGCAGCAGAAACATCTTTTTGGTATTGCGATTACACAGACCCACCACTATCTAAACCACATTCTTACTAAGTGCTTGAGAGTGGTAAATGCAACATGTCATGTACCAGATGGCCAACAATTAACAAAAGCTCAAAAGCACCAACCACTTGATAGCACAAAGCAGTATGTGCCTTGTGGAAGTTTAAGTGGCCTAACATGGCCGTAAATATAACATATTTCCCAGTGCAAGAAAAGAAAACCAACAAACAGCAAAGCAGCAGAGATGCTCTCATGTTTTCATGAGTTCTCCGAAACAGAAGAAAGAGAAACCCACACATGAATTCAAGCTAGCGCAAGTTCTCCAAAACAGAACGAAGAGCAGAAAACTGTCCACCAAGTATATAAGATAAACAATACTGATGACTTCAAATATTTAGCAAAAGCTCACTGACCGTGATCCTATGATATTTCTCCTTCTTGTTGTAGACAGATAGCACATAAACCATCTGCAACAACAAAATTACACATGAGTCAACAATTTTTCCTTGGAACTTATCAGAATCAAAGGGATGAAGCAAGTGAATTAAACATCAGTAAGCTGTCTCTAGGACAAACTAATAAATGAAAAGCCAACCAATTATACCTCCCGAAATTGGTTCCAAGTTCCAACTAACAAAATTTTGAAGCAAGTCAGTAACAATAGTTCTGTTAGATAATGGATCATTTAACCACTGCTTCCTTTCATTTGCCTGAGAGAAACCTTGAACACATATTGGTGTTCAACAGATTACAAGAGTAGATGAGTCACTGATACACGACCTAGCAATTTTAGCTCCTCTTTTGCAAAGGCCGATCACTCTAATCTTTCACATAGATCACAGCATTGCCTGGGAATGAAAATAATCTCTTCTTCCTTCTTATAAGATTATTAACTTTTATGGAACTCTATCTATGTCCCATTGACCAAATTTGTTCTACAGTAGAGAAACAACGACATACTAAAATCTTGCAGAATTTAACCAAAGAGCACCAGACATATGGTACAGGCTATAGCAACCATCAAGTAGGAAAAACAAACTCACCAGCCCATGATGAGTCTTCAAACCTCGGTCCTCCACCCTACAATTGCCATCGATCAGAAGGGTTTTGATTGGTACCTGAAACTTCCATTTCCCATTATCATCCAAAAGAAGGAAAGATTTCTCAATATATATGAGGCATGATTGAATTCATTACTGACTTGACATTGCCAGAAAAGGTTGAACAAAATCAACCCCATATGAAACAAACAGAAAAACAGGAAGCAGAAAAAACGAAATGAATGAACAGAAGAAAGCTCTTTACACACTTTTTAGAAAGCAAGACAGACATAAAGAGAAAAGAATTCCAGCTCACAGAGAACTAGCTCAGGAACATCATAATTCTTTACTAGGTCAATGTCGAGAAAGAACAAAGGTTCCCCTGGAAAGCTTTGCATCATTTCGTATCACACAAGCACTCCAGCTTTTAAGGCTAAGCAGTGCAGCTGCTTCAACATCTATACACCCAGAACTCTCCACTTTTTTTGCAACTTTTGCCTAACAAATGGGAAAAGAAAATTTGTAACTAGGAGCCAGTTTTACCTGATTATCCTGCGGTTTCTTCTTGTAGTAAGCAAGAACCCTCGGTTCCAGCACAAAGTACCTCATGTGAATGAAGGATCGCCCGATCTTCCTCCTCCCATACCGCACCATCCACCCTTCGTATATAACCTTGGACATTTTTCTTGCTTCTGTCTTCCTATACCTCCAGAATCGCCTCGCGTACAAGTGACACTAGTTTACAGTAGACTAAACGCAGAATTTGGTCATTTTTTTTGCTTTGTTGTTGTTGTTTGGAGTCTCGCAGAATTCGAAGGTCGGATGGAGGAAGATCGTCGCTTCCTTTACTGCGAGATCACCGTCAAAAGTCTCAGGTGGCCTGATGAGTCATAGCTAAAAGGTGAAACCCCGGCCGCGGCCGGTGTTGGCGCGATGAATCCCAATTCAGGAAGTCTGAAACCTCTTCAATTTCAGCATCGGCGGGAAACTCCCCAGAGGCCGAAATCCTACTCTGAACTTTAGTTTCTTTCCAGAGTCAAAAGAGGGGAGAAAGAGAGAGAACGGAAATTTGAGAGAGAGAGCGTCCAGCAGTAGCAGAAGAAACAAGAACAGGGGGTGGGTGAAGAAGAATTCAACTGTAAGGGAGTGAAGTCGGAGAGGGCCGATTTAGGGCGCGAATCGCCGGAGGACGGGTGGAAGCGCAAGCACGAAGACCAGAAACTAATGCCGGCGGTCCAGATGGATGGGCGGTGGTGGGATTTCTGGAAGGAGAAGATTCTGACGGACAGAAGGACGGAGCGAGTTAGAGCCTGGTTGGAAGATCCCACACGACGCAAGGCAAAGTTTTTAAAAAAATTTGAAAAGAAAAGGGAGAGAAATTGGGACGTGCGCGGTCGCCATTGGTGGGAGTTTTTGAGTTTTCTAATTTTACTGCTGGCTTGGCATTTTCGGGCACAGTATTATTATATATTTTTGGCAAAATTCATCTGTCTAGCCAAAACTTTGACGTTTGTGACAATAATAGCCATTTTTGGCGAAATATCAAATATAGCCAAAATTTTGAAAGTTTCCTGACAAATATAGCCACTTCCATTACAAACTTTAACGGTGTTAGAAACTCCGTCAGTTAAGTTAACGTTAGGCTGACTAGGATGCCAAATTATCACACACGTCAGCAACAAGTCTTCAGTATAATTCCCACATCATTTTGATTTATCTTTTAACAATTTAAGGTGAATAAATGAAAAAAAATCGAATAGTTTTTTTATTTATTTTTATTCTCATATTCTTTCCCCAGACTTCATCTTCGCTTATTGAATTATTTTCTTTCTACTCCGCTTCCTAAATATGGCCCATCGGGAGTCCAGTCCCCAGCCGCCGGGTGCCGTCCATGATAGCGTAGCTTCAGATCTCTGCCCGGGATTAGATGAGTTTACCTCCGGCCGTCGATTAGAGAGGGGAATCGATCGCTACAGACAGCTGGGGCTTCGACTTTTTAGCCTCCAGTGCTTCGACTCCAAGATCTGCTGAAATCAACTTCCGCCGGAGTGAGACGGAACGAGATGGAAGAGTCGGAAGAAGTGCGTGACAAGATCTCGTTGTTCTTCCTGTTGACGGCGTAGTAGAATCCCATGGGAGTGCGTCGAAAAGTCTGGGATCCAGATCCGGCGAGTCCAGCTCGAACTCGATCCCGAGCTTGATGAATGCCTTCAGCGCGTCGAAATCCTCATCTGTGACGATGCAGCCTAGGCGGCTCCTCTTCTGGCGGTTGTCGTTGCCGTCATCTACACGAGTGTGGATTTGCCCATGGATTCGAACAAATCGCCGAGCCGAAGAAGGCGACAAGAAAGCTCAATGGCGAAATCGAGAGAGGCGGCGAAGGGCTTGTGTAGAAGGAATGCTTTCCGATGAGAAAATCGCTGCAATTAGAGGCGGAGTTCCCATTTGAAAGGTTGAAATCTCCGCAATTTTCATTCATCATTGCATTTGGTTTTTTTTTTTTGTTGGGATAGGAAAATGGTTGCAGAATCAGTATATTCAAAGAGACAACATATGTATTTTGCCAGATCATTTATGTATTGTGAATGGGTTTCTGGTGTATTGATGTTTATGTGAAGAAGTGAAGAGGCGGAGGGAGAAATCCGAGAAGATGAGCGGCGGTTGGGGGAAAGGGAAGGGGAAAGAACCGAGAGGGGAGAGAGATAATAAAAAATTATTTTTTTTAATTTTTTCAGTTAATTCCAGATCATATTTTTATTGATTAAAAGGTTGACATGTCAGCTTTTCTGTTAGTACAGTCAGCACGTTAATTCACACCGTCAAAGAATTGGACGGAAGTGGCTATTTTTGGTATTTCGTCAAAAGTGGCTATGTTTGGCCAAATTGTCAAAGTTTTGGCTATACAAGTGTATTTTGCCTATATTTTTCCCTTCTCCGGCAGCGCCGTGAAGTGATGCATTCGGTAAATACCATATTTGGGCACTGAAATTATTAAATTGTGTCATTTTTAATCACTAGAAAATTTTAATATTAATTTTGGTCACTCGAATTACTGACACATGTCACATTTAGTCACTCTCCCGTTAGCTTCCGTCCAACTCCAGTCACTCAAATTACTCAAACATGTTAGACACTCGAATTACTGAAATTACTAAATTGTGGCATGTTTACTCACTAAATTGTGTCACATTTAGGCACTCGAATTGTGTCATGTTTACTAAATTGTGTCACATTTAGGCACTCAAATTACTAAATTAGTGAAACATGTCCAACTCCAGTCACTCGAATTACTGAATGGGTAAATGCAACATTTGGTCACTGAGATTACTAAATTGTGTCATGTTTACTAATTTGGACGGAACCTAACGGGAGAGTGACTAAATGTGACATGTTTCAGTAATTCGAGTGACCAAAATTGATATTAAATTTTTCTAGTGAGTAAACATGACACAATTTAGTAATCTCAGTAATCAAATGTGACATTCACCCATTCATAATCAAAAGTCAGAACAAAGCAAAAGACTAGCCGACCGGTGGCTGGTGCGGTGGTGCACCGCTGCCTGAACTCTCAAGTAGCATCGCATTCACATAAGGTAAAGACCTCACATCAAACAAAAACACAAGTATAAATTTTTTGTACTTTGCTACGGTGACTTGCAAGTCACCGTAACTTGTACTTTTTGGTCGATTGAAGATAAAAATGGTCGACCGAATTTGTTGTTTCAATTTTGTGACACTTAACGACGCGACAAATCTTTTATAGCAAATGGTCGACCTCTTTGGCAAGCGAACAACATAAAAAGTCGACCCCATTATTTCAAAGGCCGACCATTTTGCTATTACAAGGTCGACCTCTCTTTCATTAATTGATCATCATCAAAGTCGGAATTATTTAGGAAAATAGTAGAAAATGTCGACCTGACAAGTACGTGGTCGACCGCATGCACACCGTATCCATATTGGATAAGGATTCCAACACTAGAAAGGTAACCCTAACTTGTCTACCACTAAATTCTCCCTAATCTCGTCCTAAATATCTATAAATACGAATATATGTCACCTTCATCGCCACCAAAACTTTGAATTCAGTTTTTTGCACGTTTAGAGTTTTGGAGAAGAAGAAGTCTGTTGTTGTTCTTCCTGTTCAGGGTCGAGAAGGTCGATCTTATAAAAGTTCAGGACAACCGGATATAGGCACCATTTGTGGAACAAGATTGGCTGAAGGTGATATCTCTCGATGTACCATACTACCCAAAAAGGTACAGTACTTCTACAACAACATCGTCTATCAGTGTTCTGCAAATGGATCGATTCATGCTTATAAAAGCTATGCGGATGGGGTAGAGATGCGTATCAGAAAGAGTGTGTTGGCAGCAGTATTGGAGGCTCCAAACCAGGGGAAGAGAATCGATTCTTACAATGCTTGGAATGAAACTCATTTCTCGAGGGTCGGGCAAATTTAGACTGTATGTGGTCTTGTTGGAGAGGAAGATGTTGAGGATCGCAGTAGGCCAACTATTCGCCAGTTGACAGTTCAAGCCAGAGTTGTTCATCACATGCTCTCCTACAACATTCTTCCAAAGGGTGGACATCGGGAGGCAGTCACCTACTTTGACATGGAACTCCTCACCAACCTTCTTTCACATGAGAAGGTGAACTTGTCATACTTGATATTTAAACACATGCTTGTTGTTGCATAAAGTTCAACCAGGAATCTTTCCTATGGGATGATCCTCGCTTTGCTATTTGAGCATTTTAATGTGGATTTAAGTCGTGAGGTTGGCTTAAGAGTTTCAAGACAAGAGTTCTATATAGTTACATCCATAAAGAAGATGGGATTTTGAGCTGCATGATGGTGAGTATGTCCGAGCATACAATCCTCATGTAGTCCATGGTGTTGATGATGATGCTGATGATGATGACGATGAAGAGACTGAAAACGAGCCAATGGCGCAACCACAAAGTTCAACTCCACCAGTCACCCTACAACGTGTATGGACCTCATGGATGACATGTACGACTACATGGGGCAAATGTCCACTCAGATGACTGTCATGTACGACTACACGGGGTAGATGACCAACTAGACCAGATGAGCACGCTGCAAGTGACAATAACAGAGATACAAGATGAGTTCCGATCTTTCAGTGAAAGATACATGCATCCCACCACATCCGACTACCATAATGCTAGCACCGCCAATGAGGAAAATGCGTGAGTGAGAGAGCGGAGAGGTGTAGGAACTCCATGATTTTAGATTGTGTTTTTTTTTTGTTAAGTCTTAAAGACGATTTGGTTTGAAACAACTTTGATTGTGGATTGATATTATGTGGTTTCGATTTTAGGTATGTGTGAACAATTTTGAGGTGTGTTTTATTGTATTTATTATTAGCATGTTAAGTTGTTATGTTATGAAGTTATGGGTCTTTACTATCATGATTTAGGACTGATTATGTTGGTTTCAAACATAATTTGTACGAGCAAACGAATCACCCACATCGACATACATAAGCAAAAAAGGCAAACGTCATAGGCTGATTTTCCTGTAGAAGGTTGACCTTTTACAGTATGTGGTCGACCGCGCAATCAACACTTTTGATCTTCGTTTCACGTCAAATGAGGCTAGATAAATGGATAGAACTTTACTCTTCTATTTGATCGACCTATTTCTGTAAATGGTCGACCATTTCGGTAATGACTGTCATCAAGTGGCCGACCTCCATACTTTACAGTCCACCATTTTGCTTCTGACTACAATGAAAAGTCCTACGAAAGTTTTATTGTGGTCGACCATTAATGTATCAACTTAACTTAAAATGGTCAACCACTATATTTTAATGGTCGGCCGTGATTTTTCATCAGAGTGACTACTGTACGTGGGCACTAGGCCGGGCCGCCCACGTGCTTGCACGACACGGTTGGAGCCCGACACGAGCCCGGGCACGAAATATATGGGTCAGCCCGACACAAGCAAAAATTCTTTACGGGCCGTGCCGGGTCTAAACTTCATGGGCACAGGCACGAGCACGGGTACGGCACGGTTTGTAAATGGACCATGCCGGGCCAAATATTTTTAGAACCTTATTGAGTATAAGAATGGACATAGCAAAAAAGAATATTAATTTGATAAAAAATAAATATAAAAAGAACAATATGTTTAAATATTGCAAAATTAAGTAGCAAAAACAATGATTTATTGTTGTTAGAAGTGATAGTAAAGATGTATACGTAATTACTACCATAACAAAAAACGGACGAAGAATTAGACAACGTAACTTCACACTCGTTATACTTCCAATTTGCTTTTCTCCTTTATTGTTACATTTCTCAAACATTCTCGGTTAATACTTTCATTCTCCATCCAATTTTCTCCTTCCTTTTCATTCCTTCTTTTAATTTCTTCATTTTCGTTAACACAAATATGAGCACGGCACGAGCACGAATAGGCACGACACGATTCAAGTCGTGCCCGGACCTGGGCCGGGCCTAGCAAAAGTAACAAATGGGCTTGCATGACACGACACGAAAATTGACGAGTCGTGCCAAGCACAACACAAAATAAATAGGCCTGAAGCGTGCTCGTGTCGTGCCGGCCCAAGCACGGGCCAACGCCCATGTACAGTGACCACCTTAGTGAATTCGGTCGACCACAATTAGGAATAGGTTAACCGAATTGTGCAAGTTACGATGACTTGCAAGGCACGATAGGCGTACCCAACTTTTTTTTAATCCAAATTAAACAAACTATTAATTGTTATCCCATTAAATATATTTTGACCTGTTTGCCCAGGTAGTTTTTTCTATCCTATTATATTATGTATTCGTCGTCTGGTTCCATAATTTTCATTCTCTCAAAATTGTGCGATGACAAATTGAGTATTTTGGTTTGGAGTGCAAATCAAGATGGCTATGTTTACGAGAGTATACATTTCAAAGGAAAATAAGTAGTGATATTGTTGATGTGGTATTTGCAATCAATTTTATTATTTTACCAATTTGCAGTTCTTGACATCATATATTTCTCGCTTGGCCAATTTGTGCATAATTGGTCAACATACATTGTTGTGATATTAATATGTACAAAATTTTATACATAATTTTAATAGAATAGTGTATCAAGACATATTGAGTTTTTGTTAGTATTAAGCATAATTAAGGTAAGAGAGACAATTAAAAAATTGTTATGGAGATAATTGGGGAATGAAAAAGAGTCAAATAATGGGACTAAAAATGAGAGGGTAGTTTGAAATTTAAAAAAATGAACAAGTAATTGAAAAAAAACACACAGTAACCTCGTATTTGGAGAATATGAGCCCTCTCCTAGTATTTGTCTAATAACAGTTTTGTGATATTTAGAGAATAACATGTATCAAATATTGCATATTTTTTTCCAGCCAAATGTATTATTTGGTCACTAATACCACACTCAAATAACAAATCTAAATGACCCATAAAACTATTTGAAAGAAGCAATGTTATTAAAGCCGGACCAGCCGATTCGAGCAATAAAACTGCCAATCGGACCCAATATCGACCCATATGATACTTTTGGCCACTTATTGAGAGCATGGTGGCCAACAACCGGTGCAAATGGTTTACTAGACAAACCGTTCAAATTGTCCAACCGATTTTGGTTGGTTCAACCTAGAAACAAGGTTTAAGAAACTCTATCGTACAGGTCGGTTGGACCATAATTGGATACCGGACGCAAAACAATATGCAATTTTAATAGTAAGAAACGGTTGAACCAGGTTACTTTAGTATAAAATACCCTACCTCTGACTTTTGCAAGTATAACCTCAGGTACGGTTTCACAATACTTGCCTGGAAGGGATGCAGGTCGTGTGTGCACAAGTAGATGTGACAATTCTCAATCCAATCCTCCAATTCAGTTCACCAATCCATTGAAAATATCCAACTAATCCAATCCATGTAAATCCAATCCATTTTATCCAAATCCAATTGGATTTGTGGATTCATGCATTCGATTCATGGATCATTGGCAAATTATAGTTTAGTACATATAATATTTATTTTTACATTTTGGTACCTAAAACTTAATTTTTTATACAAAAAATATTATTGGAAAATTACATTTTGATACCTAAAAAATTTCATTATAACATTTTAGTACCTAAACTTTTCACATTTTACATCCACCAATCCACGTGGATTGGATCCAATCTATTTAATCCATGGATCCACCAATCCATTTGCCACCTATACGCACAAGACAACTCATCAAATGAAAGTGCCCGCCTCAGGGGTGAGTATGTCTCCGGCTCTCCGCACATATGGGACCGTAATTCCTGCTCAGTAAAGAATGGCTAAGTGGTGTTTACTGTTCTTAGTGGAGCAAATGGGCGTATGCTTTAAGCTTTTTCAATGAACTTGGTCGGAGGCTCAATAACACATGCAAAATTGGGGAAAAAATCCCAAGTTACACATGTTTTTAAAAAAAATTCTCAAAATACACACGCTATGAAAATAATTCCCAATCTACGTTAGTTTGGGCCATCATCGCTGTCGACGAAGACAGTGATTGCATCACTGTTGTCGACGAAGACAGTGATTGCATCACCGCTGTCGACGAAGACAGTGATTGCATCACTGCAGTACACGGCCGCGGTGAAGGCCTGACCTGCGTCGAAACTTTAAACAAACGTAACTTTGTGCTCGGTTATCCAATCGTAGCGAAATTTTTTTTTATTCCGCATAATTTTTCGAGATCTTGCAAGCCGCAAATTGCCGTAGGCGGTTTGGTCCCGCCTTCGTCTCGAAAATATGTCGTTTGCTACCCCGAACGAGCCTTTTTTCGATTTCGTCAAACTTTGAACTACCATAACTTTGTGCTCCACAATCCGAAAATCATGAATTTTTTTTTTATTTCGCATAAATTTTTAAGGACTACAATTTTTATCATAGACATATTTTCGGAATGTACTTGGATTCCTGAAAAGGAAGGTAAAGTTATTCCCAAAACCCCTTATATCCATAAATAATTCATTTTTTGAAAATTCTCTCCTACTAAATATTGTAGTCCTTAAAAAGTTATGCGAAATAAAAAAAATTTCATGATTTTCGGATTGTGGAGCACAAAGTTATGGTCATTCAAAGTTTGACGAAATCGAAAAAAGGCTCGTTCGGGGTAGCAAACGACATATTTTTGAGACGAAGGCGGGACCAAACCACCTACGACAATTTGCGGCTTGCAAGATCTCGAAAAATTATGCGGAATCAAAAAAAATTTCTCTACAATCGGATAACCGAGCACAAAGTTACGTTTGTTTAAAGTTTCGATGCAGGTCAGGCCTTCACCGCGGCCGTGTACTGCAGTGATGCAATCACTGTCTTCGTCGACAGCGGTGATGCAATCACTGTCTTCGTCGACAGCGGTGATGCAATCACTGTCTTCGTCGACAACAGTGATGCAATCACTGTCTTCGTCGACAGCGGTGATGGCCCAAACTAACGTAGATTGGGAATTATTTTCATAACTCGTGTATTTTGAGAATTTTTTTTAAAAACATGTGTAACTTGGGATTTTTTCCCAAAATTGGCAGGCATAGTGCATGGTATGCGAATAGCTTGGGAGGCAGGATTCAGAAAAGTTGAGCTTCGGTCCGATTTAGCTACGACAATACAGCTGATACAGTCGACGAACAATCAGCACCCGCTCATTAATGATTTTTAATGACTTAACACTAATTAAACCACTCAAGTGAGAACCGTTTACTATACCAATTCTGATTCATAGTCCAGTTCAGTTATGACAACTAGGCCTGGGCATGCGGGCGGATCATCCGGGGGTTTGAGCCGACCCACCCGCATTTGACCCGAATTTCGTTAAGTGGGTGGGTCTGTGGGTGGGTGACGGGTTGCTCTGGGAGCCATCCGCCGGGTGGTGGGTGGGTGCGCGGGTGACCCGCTCAACCCAACAGCCAAAAGATCAAAGTCGTTGGCGCTAGAGAGGGGAGAGTGGAGACGTTAGACATAAATTAGGACTGCTCATGGAGTTTGAACCTCAAAGCCAACCTTCCAAATAGCGATCCCTTCTTCTTCCCTTTATTTTTTCCTCTAATTCTTGTGCCTAGATCACTGCTCTTTCCTTTGTGGAATTACTTTCCTTAGTTTCTTGCACCTGGTAATCATCTTAATCTGTAGAAAACTCTTTCATAATAGAATTTCTATCCAATTTAAGAACTAATTCGACATTTTTTGCCGCCCTATTTCATCTTCTTGTTTTCCCTGAGAACTCTCTTCACCTATTATCATGTCAAGTTGACTCCTTTATATTGTATACATTGTGATGTGGGTAAACCCACAAACCCACCCGCATCATCCACCATCCGCCCGACCCAACCCGAGACTAAATGTGGGTGGGTGGTGGGTTAAAAATTAGCAATCCGTTTAAGCGCGGGTGGGTGCATTTTATGGTCAAAATCCACCCGACCCACCCAATGCCCACCCCTAATGACAACATTAAAAAGAAGATTTGAGAGATCAGGGAAAATAATAGCTGAAGGACTATAGCAGTAAAAGTCTCAAAGTTAGAGGGCCTCAACGAAAGAAGGAAAAACCTTATCTATCTAATCCATCTCTCTCTCTCCTCCAACCTCCAAGCCTATTTCCATTTCGCCCCGAACCAACCTATGAGTGGCTGGCTGACTGGCTGCAACTGGTGTGATGAAGCTTGTATCCTCTGCTTCTGCTCTGCTGTCCGCAGCTACTCCCACCTCATTTCCTAACAAGGTAAACCTTTTATACCACAAACGGATTAGTCTTCATTATTATACTGCTCTGTTCATCCGAATCGTGTAAGTATGGAACTCGAATGGCAGCAGCAATTGACCAATCGTTTCCGAAAGACCCTGTAAACTGAGCTTCTTCTTCCGGCTTTCAGCGTTAAATATGAAATACAATCTAAATGGGTAGAATTTTCATGTGGATGCAAATGTGTGTGCGAGTCGGTCGTGTTTAAGTTTCTGAAAATTTCCCTGTTTGTCTTTGGTTTGCAGATTGACCAAATTTCTGAACTTGCTGCTGTAACAACATTCCATCACACCTTCAGAAGTGGTTCAGTGCCAAATACGAGAAGTTCCCGTAAATTCAATCCATGGTCCCTCTCAAGCTCGGCAGCGCCATTTCTGCTCTATGCAACAAAAAACCCAAGAGGGTTTGGTCCGGCAGTACCCTCTAAGAAAACCAGCAAGAGCAAGAAGAAACCAAAGACGCTAACCTACGAAGATGACGAGGATGAAGATGGTGGAGATGGACAGGAGGAATCCAGCAAGGATTCCGATGTCATACCGGAGATAGTCACCAACAGGATGATCAACCGGATGGGATTGTCTGTTGGGATACCTTTGTTCATCGGGCTGTTGTTCTTCCCCTTTTTTTACTATCTCAAGGTCGGGCTGAAGATTGACGTGCCCACATGGGTTCCCTTCATTGTCTCCTTCTTCTTCTTTGGGTCTGCCTTGTTAGGGGTGACTTATGGGATTGTCTCTTCTAGTTGGGATCCCTTGAGGGAAGGCTCTCTTCTGGGTTGGACTGAAGCTCAGAAGAACTGGCCCGTCTTCTGGAGCTCTATCTGGGGCAATAGGTCTTCTGGCAACAAATAGAGCTGCTCATCGAGCGAGAGCTGATGGGGAAGTCCTTAGATTGGATCCATTGCAGTAATTAGTACATTCCATGTTGAGCTGAGCAACATCAATGTCCTCTTTTTCTGGAAAGAAATTATCTTAATCTAACAAGCACTACAAAACAGGTCAATCGAGTTCTTAAGATGAAGATTCAGAAGAATGCAAAATCCAGGGACAAACCAAAATGTAATTCAAATAAACATGGAGAGCCATCTTGAAATAAGCTGAGTCGAGTTGCAGCACATCAGGCAGCTTTCTTGACAGCAGAACACAGCCTATGGATAGCACCACACCAATCCATCATCTGCAGGGCATCTCGAGTTCCTGTTATACGCCAGGAAAAAAACATATGTATTTTTATTGATCCTGATTTGGGCGGAAAGAAACTAGACTAGCTCGAAGGCGGCCTTAAAAACTGGGTCTGTATAAGCTAAACAGAAACAATGATATGATATGCTTTGTAAGCATCGCGAAAAATCGATTATGTTTCTAGCTACTTCTCCAAAGTTTTGATTGCTTAGCAAATACCAAAGGAATTAGGAAACAAAAGGGTGATCTAGATGGTATGTGTGGAGGTAGTAGGGAAGTAGCAGTTATCTGCAATCATGCCTGTGTTGCATAACATCGTCTCTCTTCCATTGATATCCCACACAACAGATATTCGTCCTAAAGTATATCAATCAAATGTTACAGATAAAATCATTGCAATTTCCAAATACAGGGAGATGGCCTGTTTCTCTTTTCATGCAATCAATAATACATTATGTGTGCCATGGAGCTCATAGTCCTCCGTTTCGGTTACTGCCGCTCCCTAGTTTCACTTTGGAGACACTTTGAACTGCAGAAGAGATGCAGTGCTGCCTCCAGGAGAAGAAGACATCACAAATCAGAAGCCTAACCATAATATAAAAGGAAGGAAGTAGACCAGCTTCAGGAAACATGAAAGACTATGATTAAGGAATATTAAAAGTGGTATTGCATATACCTTCAACATAGTAAATGCTGCTGCTGCTGCTATCTAGTAAATCTCATCCTCAGGCACATCTGGGTACAGGAACTTCATTGGATCTTTTCGCATGTCCTCATAATTCAGGGTAGGAGTAACCCTATCTGGCACGGGAAATAGAGGAATGATGCTATCCCTGTCAATCACACCATCAATTATTCCATATTCAACTGCCTCAATTGGAGACATGTATCGGTCCCTGTCAATGTCTTTCGCCACCTGCTCAATCGCCCGACCACTCCAGCTTGAAATGAGGCTCACAATGTTGTTCTTGTTGTGCATGATTTCTTTTGCTTGAATCTCCACATCTATTGCTTGTCCACTAGCACCTCCAAGTGGTTGATGAATCATTATCCGTGTATTGGGCATTGCCAAGCGCTTGCCTTTTGTGCCACCACCAAGGATAATGGAAGCCGTTGATGCTGCCATGCCGAGGGCAACAGTGGAAATGTCAGCCCTAACAAGTTGCACGACATCATAGATGGCCATTGTTGCACTGCACAAATTGATTCATGAGTCAATCAGAGAGGACCAGGGATAATGGCATGCTAACAACAGTTTTGCTAAGCACAATGCAGAAACCAAACTGTTTGATTATGTTTTGAAGCTGATAATTCAAATATGTAAGCCACTGTTTCATCACAGACATGTTATACCGGGAAAGAGAGTTGACAAATCAGTACACATTAATTCCATTGGACAAAATTGGTAATAACTCAATTCTCGTCTTTTCACAATGTGAATGATGAGAGATACTGTAATAGAAAACAAGGGTGCATGTTCATGTACCAATTCTCCAGTACGGGATCTGGCAACATTTTTTTAGGAATAAAGTTAAGATGGAGAAGGCAAATATATATTAATAGTAATACAGCCATGCTATTGTTAGGAAGGGGCCTGCAATGGATACACCTTGTCCACCTCACAAACAACTTCTGCTACCATTGCTTAATTCAAGATTGAGTCCAACATCCAGAAAGAAAAGAAAGTCTAACTCATTGAGGCCCTTCAGGAAGGTTAAAGCCACCCAAACTAAAGGGAACAGTCCTACAGTAACACCCACGAGACATTCAGAAACAGAAAGAAATCTTATATTCAAACCAAATTATTTTTTTCAAGAACATTCTACACAGGAATTTGACACGGTGAAGCAGCACATTCCTTGGCACACATTAAGTATACCATGACATAAAACAATGGTAAACTACAGTCACCGCTCCTACTGTGAGCACAATTTCCCAACGAGAGCCATGAAGATAGGCCTAAGACAAAGACTGCACATAACAAACAAATCGACAAGGCTAAATCTCTATTCTGTAAGCAGAATAGATCTTTACCATCAGGTTCACTAACTCACTAACTTAAAAAGGATGTATGCAGTATGGAAGATGACAAATGGAAAGCGCTCTGGGTAATTATGAAAGTCACCAAACCAAAGACGGGAAACAGAGAAATACTAAATGTAGAATGTTTATTTGCACAAAGCTTGCTCTATAGTCTTATAGCAAATTTATCAATCTTCTAGAAGAAGGGGCGGATTAGTTTGAGGAGAAGTAACACGGACTTAATCAGCAGAGACCATAACCTACTAATAACACTGTTCTTGAAACTCACAATCATTTGCCCGCATGGAGTGATTGTGCCAATACATCCAGCACAGTGCTCAAGACTCCATCCTCAAACATGATATACCTCCCGAAACAGAACTGTCGGCCAAATAGTTGGTCTCACCTCACTAGCCAATGACAGGCAGACACTCATCTGGATATTCCCAACTAACCTAATCAATCAGCATAAGAATATCTTTGCACATCCCCCGCCCCCAGATTTCAGGCTGAATCAACAGAAGGACGAACTTCCAAGCAAGAGACACACTCCTTAGGTTCAACCAAGTTTATCATTTGGATTAGTGTTTCATCCAATGCCTGGATTCAAAGTTGAGACAAGTTTCCATTTCACGCAGCAAAATAATTTTGAAGTTGTGAAATTTAAGTTCGTAACTAACTGTCAAGATACATAACAACATTCGTTTGCAAACTCAATCAAAGAGACTGGTAGACATCACAACAAAGCACACCATTTTTTTTATACCAAAATCTCATCTTTCCCAGTAAACCAAACTGAAGACTGACAATTGAGGAAATCTGATCCACAACCATTATATCGCCCATCTTCAGGTCATGGAGCAGAACAGAAAATAAACGCAGTCCACATAGGTTTAGCAAGAAGCGGATGTGAAATTAGGTACTGTTCAACTGGCTTTAGTTACCTGAGAGAGCCGCCAGGGGAATTGATGAAGAGGCGAATGTCTTTAGTGGGGTCCTGAGCATCAAGGAGCAGCAATTGACTGATGATGGCATCGGCGACAAAGTCGTTGATTTCGTTGCCGAGGAACACAATCCTCTCCCTGAGCAGCAGGCCCATGGCGTCAGTCTCAGCTCCCCTCATGGCGGTGGCGGGAGACTGGGGGGAGTTGGCGGTGAGGGAAGAGGTGACAAAGGAGGCATTGCGGTTGGAGGATGGGTTAATTGAGGTTTTGGGATAAGAGGAGCAATGAATAGCGGTGGCGGCGGTGGGTTTAGAAGGGAACGAGGAGAAGGATGATGATGAGAAGGATGTCACTCCTTTGCGATTGAAGTAGGAGGCTGATGCTTGGTGCGGGATCGAAGGAGACGAGAGGGACAGTAACTCCATTGTTAGACTTCGAGCGAGCAAGAGTCTCCGAGGAAAAACTAGTCAGGGATGGATATCTGAGACTTGGGGATGGAGTAGGAGCACAAGTGCATAACCTCCTCCCTTCCCTTCTTTATTATGGATTCTACTAGGCCTCCTCTGGGCTGGGCTGGGCTGGGCTGGGCTCGGTGGGTTTCTGTTTTGGATCAGAAGATGACTTTTGGTCTTAGTGGGCTTTTAGATCTACCTGTTTTCGGTTTAGGCTTCTGCGAAAAGATCACTTTTTTCCTTGGAAAACTCCCCAATTCCCATCCCCCCGCCATTAAATCGCGCGCCACTTTCCCCGGCGGAGCCGCGACCACCGTCCTTACTCATCGTCGGACTCCGTAGCAGTTTCCTGCTGTTTGCAAAACCTTTCGCTGTCGCCTCGATCTCCATAAGTGGCCGTAGTGGTGCTTTGTCCCGGTTCGCTCGCTTTTCAGAGTTGGTCTCCGGTAAAACACTTATCATCCATCCCTACGGTCCTCAAGTTATGTTGATTAACGGTGTGCTGTTGGTTGTGCTGTGGTGATTGATAAAATATTTAGTTGGACTTATAGGGATTTCTGCTATTGATTCAAGAGTAGAATGAACTTGCATCGTCACTTTCTCATTGGTGAATAGCATGTGCATCTGCATGACTAGATAGGAGTAGCTAGTTAGTTTGTTGGTGAATTACAACTGCCAAGCTGAATCTCAGAATCTGAAGTGGGAAGTTGAACTCTTCTTCTGTTAAATAGAGAGGGATGGGCTTTCTTTATGTGGATGTGGAACCCGATTTGGCAGCTTACCCTTTTCTATCTGCGATCCCCTGTAGAAAGATGAGACAGTTCTGTACTTCTGTTAGTAGCGAATTTCTGTGTATAATTGTGTGAAATGTTGGGATGAATAGTTTTGTGAATAGGTCCGTGCATCTGGAACCTATGGATGTGACCCAATCTGTTCTTAACAAAGATGCATATGCTTTTCGAACATAAACCTTTTAGGTAATGCTTCCAAAATACGATGACCGTGAGTTCTTATCTTTCCTGATTTCCTTTAGTTGATTTGTCAACTTGCATCTTAGGTGGAGCATAATGGTGGCTTTTAAGAATAGATACATGGTGATGGAAGTTTTCTTGGACCCAAATCGAGACATCAAAGGCGACGATTCTATTATCATTACACCGTTCAATTTGATGAAAGCAATTAAAGATAGCATTCTTCCAAACTTCGGGGAATGTTTCTTGGCTTCGTCACTTGGTTCACTGCAAGGTATGTTGCATGTTAATGATCTACTTAATGTTCGTGCATATTTATGAAATTATATTTCTGTAACTTCTTGGATCTGTTTTCATTGCAGTCAAGTATGTGAACCCCATCACAAAGATATGCATAATCAGAGTTTCTAAAGAGAACCATCAGAAAGTTTGGTCAGCTATTACCATGGTCCGGAAGATAGGGAATTGCCCGGCATTTTTCAACCTACTGGACCTTAGTGGTAAGCAGACTTACTGAAAGTAATTTGTCTTGCAACGCTGATGAGTTCTGTTCTTTGGTTGAAGTTCTCATACATTGTCCTCTGCAAACCATGGAGTACTTTGTTATTTGCTTTCAATAATTTTCATGGAATTTGTTGCAATTGTTGTTCATATCAGGATCCGATCAAAACGAAAGGACTCTTTCAGAGGGTTCGAACATGACTCTGGTGTTTCAAGAAAAATACCCATGTAGAAGCTATTTTTATTCATCATCAACAATTGTACATTGCAGAAAGTGTGTAAATTTTGCAGCACCATTTAAAATTTCTCATTAAAATCTTTCTTACTTGACTTCTGTATATCCTAGGTTTATCCTTATACTGTTGTGTGATGTATTCAGTTAGGTGTGCTATTTGTTGCTTGCGTCTCTGTACTAGGAGAATTAAAATGTCATTCAATCACGATGAATGAGTATCCTGTAGGATTCTTCACTTCATATCTGTACTGCGGTTGGTCCAGATCTCTTATTTTCCCCTTCTTTCCTTTTGCAATACAGGAAGTATAAGGGCTTGTAGAGTAGCTGCTTTAAAGTGTGACGAGAAGAAGTTTGAGCACTACAAGCTCATGGCTGGGGACCGATTGTCCACTGATGATAGTCAGCGCATGCAAAACTATCTGGAGAAGATCAAACTTTTGGAGAACTGATACTGTTGCTGCCTGTTTAGGTATGGTTTGGTAGCGTAGAGTAGGGAGATCATTTTGGGGCAATAGAGTAAAATGATTTGGTGGAGAAGGTTCTTTGTCTGTGTTTGTGGATATAGTGATATGTTTTTGTGTCTGTTTGCACGTTTCTCAGAAAAGGTTTGTATCTGTGAGAATGATCAAATTTGACCTCGTGTATTCTATACCAGGTACGAGGTAGGGAAGTTTAGTTTCTGGCACTTCGTAGCTGCTGAGTATGTTTTGGGATAATCTCGCTTTACCCTTCATTGTGTGAAGCCATTGAGTTATCTGGAATACATATTGCAAATCTGTTTAGTGTGAACATGGAAAGGAAACACATTAACCGTTTGGAGGAGTATACAGAACAGGTACGCAGACATGTTTATAAGAAACTATTGGGAGCAGAGAGGAAATATAAATTATCATGCCAAATAGAGAGCACTTCAGAAACCGGCTTGTTGGCGTTTGGCATAGGAACTTGGTGGGCATGAATGGTGAACCTCTTCTGATGCAGACCATGGAGACATTCTTCAAAGCTGTTTTCTAGAGTGGCCACATCATATGTTGTGCAGGAGATAAAAGCTTCTGCTGTACTTGTATGGTGCCAATTCAGGGCCCTCAATTGGACAACATTTGAACTGTTATGATTGCATTCCTCTGTAGTTTAGTGGTATAATCTGGTATGGGGTAAGTCAACGATTCCCACTCCCGCACAGTTTTCTACTCTAGCTGACTGTTCTCGACAGATTGACAAATAAGAAAGCCGTCAGAACCGATAGGTTGTGTGCTGTGTCTGGGAATGCGTTGAGTAGGACACATGTGTTTGTAAGCTGCTCTTATACTCAGTAAGTTATCAGACTATGTGTCGGGGCATAGATTGATATTCTAGCTTTAAGTTATTGGGATTGCATTCTGCAATAGGCAGTGTAGAAATGGAGTGGTAACAAGTGTTGGTGCTCGAGTTGGGAAGCCAGCTTCGTCTCCTCTAGTAAGCTATACATGAGGAGGCGATGCAAACAGATGTATGGAGTAGCTGCTGCTTCTTCTCCACTGCCACTGTGTTCAAGAATCAAAGGGGAAGTTCAAAGTCTGGCCATGAGTGACCTGGATCCGGAAACTGCCATTATTTTCGGTTCAAAGTCTGGCCACTGTGTTCAAGAATCACCAGCTTGGGATGGTGATATCGCATCAATACAGAATATAGTTTGTTGGTTCCGCATTTTTGTTTCTTTGTTGTGTGTTCCTGGCAAGATACCTTGCCATTATTTTTTCATGAAATGTCATGCCTTATCCTACAAAAGAATTGCGTGAAAAATATTAATAAAAAAAGGCACAACAAAACTCGAGACAATTTTTACATTACGTGGGAGAAATATATGATTTTTTCAAATCCTCTCCCTAAAATTTAGCATGGTAGATAAATCCTTTCCCAGAGCCCTAATTTAGTCGTGAATCATTTCCCAAATCCTGATGCGAGGAGTAGAGAACAATGTCCATTGAAGAAGAAGAAGAAGAAACACAGAAGGATGAGGTGTGCCGGAGCCGGCTGCTGCTGCTACTGCCACTGCATTTAGCTACATGAGGTCTCTACAGCATTCCTTTTTCCTTATTCTGGTGGTAAACTAACTGCATTCTGATTTCTTGCAGGATCATGTCAAGTTTCATATTTCCTAATTTGGAGGTAATGTGGAAGAGCCGTTAGGTTTGAATGGTAAGTTTGAGGGGGCCGTTGGATAACAATCCTTCGTGCCTCCTTGGTGGAGTCCATTGACTGTTGTTTGTTCGGGAGCAAACACTAATGAATGAACAACCCCGTCCAGTCCAACAATGAACGTTTGATTTCCACTTCAGTATGTGTTCAGAGGTAACTAATAGTCAATTAACTGGCCACCAAATCGTCCACTCTTGGTAAGGCCTAAATTCCCTTATAAAAACATCCAGCACTCTGCTTTTATTCTGGCTCCACTATGTGTTTCAGTGTTTGTTCAGAGAATAACAGTACCGAAGCTGTCTCATTGCTTCGCCTGCAATGACTTACTGATCCTTCTTCATATAGAGAATAGTATGTGGTCCCTTCCTTGGTTCCCACTGTCTTGTTTCAGATGAATTCACTGTCCATGGCATGCTAGCTGTGGTTTCAACATCTATGTGCAGAACAAGTATTTGCTGTTTCTCTAAATGTAAGTGCTATCCGCCGCCGCTGCTGCATTTTTTGCTGTTCGGATTATCTGTGCGCTGTTGCTGGGATTGGGGCTTGTTGGGTGCTGGTTGGTCCAAAGCCAATTTGTTTACACTGGCCTTGGTTGTACTTGGGACCGAGCGTTTCTGTTAGTTGTATACGTTGGGACAAGGTTGGGGTGCTTCCTTCTGTTTCATCCCTTGTGAAGCATAGCCTCCTGCTTGCTTTATTTGTTTCTTTACTTCTAATAATCTCATATCATTGATATAAGAATAAAATAACATGGAAAGTGTTGTTCACATATCCAAACATGTCCCAAAAGTTGAAATGTTTATGAACTGTGAGTGAATATTTAAGCACAGTTGTGTCTCTTCAAAAGGGAATATCAACAAAAGACACACACACACACAAAAAAAAAAAAAAAAAAAGAGGTTGAAAATAATAAAGAAGATGAAAAGATCGAACAACTTGTTCATATACAAGTAAGAGAAGACGTGCTTGAGTCAGTAAGGTTGGTCCTTTACTGCACAGAAAGAAGGATCAAGATACTTTGGTATTACAATATTTGAATTGAGCTGCTTACCCTGCAATGGTGCTGCTTTTGCAACGGCCAGTCTTCTATGCATCTGTAACTTGATTGTCGCTTTATTTAATTGGAATTTCTCAACTGGAAGAATGTCTGCAGGATTGTGGAATTAACGTGCAAGTAGCTGTTGCTGGTGGTTTAGAGGCTTCTGTCATGGCTGAGGATATTGTGAAACCATTGTTGGATCCTGAGAACTTCAATCGAGCATTGATTGACTTAGTGAGTTGTGCATCACTGGAATGTGGAATTTCCTGCCTATTTTACTGTGCTGACAAGGAATTTTGTTGACTTGACACAATAGGATACCTTACCGTTAGAAGATGTTTTTGAACAACTACGAACTTCACTTGATGGACTTACATCTGAAGATGCTAAAGCTCGTTTGACAGTGTTTGGGCCAAACAAACTGGAAGAAAAGCCGGTAAGCACCTTTCTCTGTAAGCTTTAAAAATTCATATTCCACCATCAAAAAAATTATGACGGAATCTTATTTGGCCACTCGTGCAATGTGTCTGGTTCTCAGTAACAGGTCGGCATATTGAAGCGATAGTTCTTTTCTATCCATTCTGTCTGTATCTACTTGCATTTGCTATTTGTACTTATCCTTGATGATATAGTGTGTGTCAATAGTACAGTGCTCTGTTAAGTCAGTAGATCCCTGCTCCATGCAGTGCTTGCCCCTAGTTTCAGGTGTTTTACCTCTGAACTTGAACCTTATATGCACTTGGATTGCATAATGCCGGAGCTTGCCCAACTTTCAAATGACTTTATCATAGCTAATTTCCTTATAGCAAGGTGGTGCACAAAATATCATCTTGATCCCCATAATCGTTTGATATATTGGTCTTTTCCGCTTCAGGTGGTATATTACTAATTAGTAGTATCTGAAACTCTGTTTTCGGATTTCAGTTTCTCATTAATGCATTCAAGTTTTGTCAGTGCCTACCTGAGGCATGCCCTTGCCATCAGCTTCCTTACAGTGAGAAGCGGGCTTGCAGTATATTCCCATTAAAATTTAGCACACTAAATAATTAAGCTGGTCACTTACATTCCGTCTTTGCAATTCAGGAGAACAAGTTATTGAAGTTCCTTGGGTTTATGTGGAATCCTTTGTCATGGGTTATGGAAGCTGCATCAATAATGGCAATAGCCCTTGCCAATGGCGGAGTAAATAACCAGCCATCTGTTTGCATTTCCCCGCTTTCTATGAGTTGATAACATTGAGGTATTGTTAGCTGATGAAAGTTATGTGTTCAGGGTGAAGGCCCTGACTGGCAGGACTTTCTGGGGATTGTTTGCCTGCTGTTGATCAACTCAACTATAAGTTTCATTGAGGAAAACAATGCTGGAAATGCTGCAGCTGCATTGATGGCTGGTCTGGCACTAAAAGCAAAGGTAGTACAATCTACAACTCTTACCACATAGCTAAAAGAATATGACTAAATTGGAAAGGAAAGCAATTACGACAGAATCAGCAATGGCTCAGAATTTCCTCAAGTTTTTCTGTTTGGTAATTTGAACTTTGTGATCCTGATACTAAAAAATACATGCATACAGAATTTGGTTTCTGAGTTATAGAGATTTGCAATTGGTATGTGAAGGGATTCAGGAGTTCTACTTACCAAGATGGCGGCATTACATTTTTACCATACGCTACTGCTGCGTGCTTAAAAAATTAAGTACTAGTGGCATAATAAAGTCATAATGAACTCGAGCAAACTTAGAATGAATCATTCTTTTCTTTTCTTTATGGATAGAAAATTAAGAACTAGTTGACATAGAAAGCACATAACAACCATAGTTCCATGAGTAGGCAGGTTGTGCAGGTATGCGCTCACTATTGATTACTACTTTACTAATAGAAGCCATAGAAGATCAATAAACAGAAAATTCATGCTCAGGAGGTCTCCTAGATAGGAATGTCAGTGTTACGAGAACATACACACTTTATAAAGTTTCTTGCAAGTGTACGTCTTACTGGGGGTTTCTTGCCCAGGAATGCATGCAGCTTATTCTTTCTAATTGCAGGTTCTCAGAGACAGAGAATGGCAGGACATGGATGCAGCTATTCTGGTGCCAGGAGATATAATAAGTGTTAAGCTTGGGGACATAATCCCTGCAGATGCTCGGTTGCTTGAAGGAGATCCACTAAAAGTTGACCAGGCACGTGTTGGCAATCTTGGATCTCATCACAATCACAACTTCTTTTTTCTTGGTGAAATGCGTTCCTTTTTTCCCTTTGTACGAATCAATCATCTTTTTTTTTTTTTGGTTGTACGAATCAATCATCTAGAGCAACTGTTCAGCAATAATGTCATGTGCCGGTTTCTCTGTGCAGTCTGCCCTTACAGGAGAATCTCTTCCTGTCACTAAGAAAACAGGTGATGAGGTTTTTTCTGGTTCTATATGCAAGCACGGAGAAGTTGAAGCTGTGGTGATAGCTACTGGGGTTCACTCCTTTTTAGGAAAAGCAGCTCATCTAGTGGACTCCACTTACGTTGTTGGGCATTTCCAAAAGGTAATTGTCTCGATTAAGCACCGCGCCAAATTGAAACCCAAGCTGTAAATTATGATCTATGCTACT